ACAAATAGTAGAAGAAAAAAGTCAATAAAATCAAAAGCTGCTTCTTTGAAAATATCAATAATGTTAATAAAATTTGAGCTGGATTGATGAGAGGGTGGTGGAGAGAACACAAATTATTAGCATCTGAAATGAAAGGAAAACAGATAATTACATACAATAAGGCCTCTAAAAGGATGATAATAGGAATTTTTGAAAAACTATGTTCTAATACTTTTGATAACCTAGATGAAACAGAAACATTCCCTGAAAGACACAAACTACTGAAATTGAATAAAGTAAAAATGGAACACTTTAAAAACCTTTTTTAAAATTCCTGATTAGACACCTGCATAGAGAAAACTCCAGGCCCAAGCATTAAGGAATAAATGACACCAATTCTATGTAAACTTTTCCTGAAAGAGATGAGAAGGAAATGCTTCTTAACTAATTTTACGAGGACAGTTTGAACCTGTTACCAAAACCAAGCCAGATTTAATCATACTTAAATGATATGACAAGATAGGGGCACCTGGCTGGCTCAGGTGATGCTCTTGATCTTGAGGTTATAATATAGTTCAGGTCCCACACAGGGTGTAGAAATTACTTAAAAATAAAATCTTAAAAAAAATGATATAACAAGATGGAAAACTACGAACCAATATCTCTCCTAGACATAGATGCAAAAATCTTTGAGAAATATTAGCAATATTCATCAATATATAAAAAGGATAATATACTACAACCAAGTGGCACATGTAACAGAAAAACAAGGTTGTTTTAACATTTGAAAACCAAACAATGCAATCCCCATGATACCTGAATAACAGAGAATTACCAAAGGATCATCTCAATAAGTGCAGCAAAAGAATTTGATAAAATCTAACACCTAACCATGATAAAAACAGTCCACAAACTGAAACAGAAAGAAACTTTCTCAGTCTGATAGAGGGCATCTATAAAAATGTATGGCTGTCATACTTAGTAGTAAAAGACTGAATGTTTTCCCTGAGGAAAGGAAGACAGGAAAGATGTCCACTTTCATATCCATTCGACATCATACGTGATGTCCTAACCAGTGGAATAAGGAAGGGAAGAAAAATAAATAGAAAGCATATAGTTTGGAAATGAAGAAGTAAAACCATGTTGAATCACAGAAAGTACATGTAGAAAATAGTAATGTACAAAAAAGCTACTAGAACTATTAAGTTATGAGTGAACTTGTACCCCACTCTCCAACTTATATGTTGAAATCCTAATTCCTAGTATCTCAGGATGTGACTTTATTTGGAGACACTGTTTTTACAGAGTTAAAATGGGGTCATCAGGTTGGACCCTGTTAAAGCCTGAACGTTTATGTCCTCCCAAATTCATATGTTGACATCCTAACCCTTCAGTGTGATGGTATCAGGAGGTGAGGATTTGGGGAGCTAATTAGGTCATGAGGGTGGAAGCTTCATGAATGGTATTAGCGCCCCTATACAAAGAGACACAGAAAACTTCCTCTTTCTCTCTGTGCTCTGCTTTGTAAGGACATGGCAAGAAGAAGGCCATCTAGTGAGGAAGAGGGCTCTCACTAGAACCCAAACATGCTGGTACGTCTCATTCTAGATTGCCTAGGCTTCAGAATTGTGAGGAATGAATTTGTCATTTAAGCCACCCAGTCTATGGTAATTTATTACAGCAACCTGAAGTAAGGCAGGTCCTAATCTGACTAAAGTCTTCATAGAAAGGGAGAATCTGGAGTTGCCATACATATAGGGAGAATGCCATGTGAGCATGAAGACAAGCCAAAGAGAAAGGCTTGGAACAGATCCTTCCCTTGGAGCCTTTAGAGGGAATTAATCCAGACAAAACATTGATTTTGGACTTCTAGCCTTCAAGAAGTTTCTGTTGTTTAAGCTCTCCAGTTCATGATATTTTGTTCTAGCAGTCCTGGCCAACACAAGACACAAGACAGGTTAGCAAGTCTGCAAGATACAAGGTCATTTTATAAAAATAGATTGATTTCTTTATACAAGCAACAAAATACGAGAAGCTAAACATTTTAAAAATCCACTTACAACAGCATACAGAAGAGGAAATACTTATGGATGAATATAACAAATTCATATGTACCCTGAAAATTATAAAATACTGCTAAGAGAAGTGTCATTTAGAAAACCCAAATCATTGAAGAGATACACAATGCTTATGAACCAGAACATCCCTAAATTCTTCAAATTAATCTATAGGTTCAATGTAATCCCTTAGTACAAAAGTACTAAGGTAATAATAGAAAAGGACAACAAATGGTGTTAGAACTGGATCTTTATATGGAAAAATGTACACCTCAACCCTTATTTCATGCTATCCAAAAAATAAATTCAAAACAGATCATAGACTTAAGTGTAAAAGCTCAAATTATAAAATTTCTAGAAGATATGTGAACATTTCTTAGATAAGATTCAAAAAACCATGACCTATGAAAGAGAAAATTAAAATTAATTTTAAAATGAAAATGTCTGCTTTTTTGAAAGGAATCATTAAGAAGCTGAAAAGAGAGCACATTTGAGAAAATGTTTGCAAAACAGGTATCTGACAGAAGCTTTGTGTCCAGAATATATGAGAAATTATAATATATGAGAATATATGAGAAATTATGAGAAGAAGGCCAACAACTCAATAAAAATGTAGGCAAAATATTCACAGGCAGAAAGGAGAGATGGTAGATGAATAGTCCAGAGAGAGTAGACAGGATCAATGAGGCAGTGGCTTTAAAAAGAGAAGTGAGGGAATTGAAAATGACTCTCAGAATACATCTACGTTTGGTTAGGTGGGATTCATCTCCTTCAGCCCCTAAACATACAGGTAGGGGAAGGAAATCATGATTGAAGTCATAGAATAGTCTCCATCACATGATTCCTCTGTTCAAGAAATCAATGTATGTCTTTACTGATTATTATAGATAAATGTACTACAAGGCTTGGCTATATAGTGATCACTCAATAGATAACTATTAAGAAATGAATAAATGGGAGTGCCTGGGTGGCTCAGTTGGTTAAGTGGCTGCCTTGGGCTCAGGTCATGATCCCAGGGTCCTGGGATTGAGGCCTACGTCAGGCTCCCTGCTCAGCCTGCTTCTTTCTCCCTTTCCCTCTGCCTGCTGCTTCCCCTGCTCGTGCTCTCCCACCCCCAAATAAATAAATAAATAAATAAATAAATAAATAAATAAATAAATCTATCTTAAAAAAAGAGAAATGAATGAATGAATGAATGAATAGCAAATGCAATTCTTGAAAGTCCTGTTACAGGTCTTTCTAGTTCTGTTTCCCTTGGGCAGCTAATAGTTGAATAATTACCCCTGGGAAGCAATGGAGTTGTGATTAGTCTTGGAGTCAGAATTTGGTTGAAATCCCAGAACAACCAGATGCTAAAATGATCATGGCAATGCCCAGTAAAAGTTCTACTGACCTACTGGCTCCCTCCCCTTTTTGGGGGGAATTCAAAGATATCGGGGGAACGAAGCCTTTCTCCGGATGGTAGTTTTAAGTCTCAAGGCGGTCTTATTTTTTATGTGCAAAGTTACTAGGGAGTCACTAGAGCTACAAAAGTGAATTAAAACAGATTTTACGCCACAGGAGTTTTTGAGACTCATAGGAGAGACAGACAGACATAAATATAATGTATACACGTTTCTAGGAAAGGTGTAGAAAATACTTATTTCTAAGGAGTGAGTGAGAATAGGGAGGTTTTATGAAGAAAGTAGCATTTGGATTGGGTCTTGAAGGATGAGCAGAAAAAAAGTAAGGGACCGTCTAGAATGCAGTAACCTAAGGAAAGGTATACAGAGGGTTACAGAAAGCTTGGCATCTATGGAGGACAAGAGCATCAGAGACATATTAACAGATATAGTAAGTTAACAATTCATTGTTTTGCTCCTGTCTTTAGAAGCTTATTTTTAATTGAATAGGGAAAGAGAACAGGTACATAAATACACACAAAAGAACAGTGGGCTTCATAGAAAGGAGAGATTACATCCAGTTTTGGCGATTCTTCCGGCCGCGATGTCATCCCCCCACCTTTTTTTTTTAAATAGAAATTTATTTTTTATTGGTGTTCAATTTGCCAACATATAGAATAACACCCAGTGCTCATCCCATCAAGTGCCCCCCCTCAGTGCCCGTCACCCAGTCACCCCCACCCCCCGCCCTCCTCCCCTTCCACCACGCCTAGTTCCTTTCCCAGAATAACGAGTCTTTCACGTTCTGTCTCCCTTTCTGATATTTCCCACTCATTTTCTCTCTTTTCCCCTTTATTCCCTTTCACTATTTTTTATATTCCCCAAATGAATGAGACCATGTAAGGTTTGTCCTTCTCCGATTGACTTGTTTCACTCGGCATAACACCCTTGAATGCAGCTAACAAGTGTTCGGAGTCCCCTCTTTAGAATATGGTCAATAAGAGTGAGGTCCTCTGTGTCCTAGATTCAAGTTCAAATTAGGGAGCTACTGTGGGCCTCAGTTAACTCCTAGATAAAACGGAAACGCCTTCCTCAAAGAATCGTTAAGAATGACACGGGCTGAAGCATGCGGGGCGTACGCAGTCCCTCGCATCTACGCCCTGAGTGCTGGGTCTTAGTAAGGGGATACCTGGAGGGCCCCGCCGGCAGCACAGCGCGGCGGGCGGAGAGCCGAGGGCGGCGGGCGGAGGGCGGAGGGCGGAGCGCGACGGACCCCGCGGCCCTACCCGGCGGGCGGGGCCGGCTGCGGGGCGGCAGGAGCAGGTGCGCGGGGCCTGCAGCCGCGGTAGGAGCACGTGGTCCCCGCCCTCCCACAACAACAACAAAAAACCAGGTAACTCTCCGCTTGCCCCGAGGGGTGAGGGCTTGATTTTTAAATCGATCCGAAAGAGCCAATCAGAGCCGGCAGCGTGAGGGCGCGGGAGCCGATTGGTCCACAGCCACTCGCGGCGACCAATAGGCTTGGAGGGTGAGTTTGGCCCGTCCCGGAAGCGGGCGAATCCGAAGCCGCTGCCGGCCGCGGGCAGTTTGAATTGGATTTGGAGCTGAAGCCCGCGGAGGCTGCGCCGGCGTCCGACCCCGGAGGGCTCGGCTTTCCCTCCCGGCTCGGCAGGTGAGTGTCCCGCGTGGGCCGTGGCTTCGCGGCGGGCGTGGGGTGGGGTGGGGTGGGGGCGGCCGGCTTTCTGCCGCGGGTCCTCGGCGGGGCCGCCCTGGGATGGCGCTCCCGGGCCGGGTGGCTGCAGCGGCCCGCCCCCGGCCCCCCGATGGGGCTGGGAGATCCCCCCCGGGTGCGGTTCTTAGGGCTCCTGGGGGAGCCGCGCTGGCACCGGCGTCCGCAGACCCCGCTCGGGCACGAGCTCGCGCTTTGGAGCCTCAGTTTCCCCCCTTTGTAGGACACGTGAATTGGAGATGAGCAGGTATTTTTCTAGCGGCCGTCTAGGGCCAGGGCCAGCGGCTCCGTTTCGACCTTTGAACACGGGTCCCTCGTTGCATGGAGGAGATGCAAGCTTGGGGTTTGATGTGTGCTGCGCGTGGGTGTGCCCCTTGTCAGCTGCGAGAGCATTTCTCCCGCCTTCCACATTTATTTGGGCACACTTGGGGGCCGGGCTCTGCCATGTTATGAAGACCCAGAAGTAAATAAATAAATGATCTGCGTCTACTCCTTGAGCCAGGTCTAGAGGAGCAGGCAAGTTTTCACTCTTAACGCTCAGCCTGGCGCTCCAGGCGGGGACTCGGGGGGCTTGGTGGAGGTGGGGGATCTTTTTTTTTTTAATTTTATTTTTTTATTGGAGTTCAGTTTGCCAACATATAGCATAACACCCAGTGCTCATCCTGCCAGGTACCCCCCCCCCCAGTGCCCATCACCCAGTCACCCCCACCCCCCGCCCACCTCCCCTTCCACTACCCCTCGTTCATTTCCCAGAGTTAGGTGTCTCTTATGTTTTGTACAGGGAAAGGAGAGAAAATGAGTGAAAATATCAGTGAGGGTGACCAAAGCATGAGAGGTGGGGAATCTTTTTAAAAGCACATGAGAGACTCCTAACTCTGGGAAACGGGCAAGGGGTGGGGGGATGGGGTGACTGGGGATGGGCACTGGGCACTTGATGAGCACTGGGTGATATGTTATATGTTGGCAAATCGAACTCCAATAAAAAAGATAGATACAAAAAAAACCAAAACAAAAACCACCACCACCACCAACAACCAAAAAAACGGAAAACGTGCAGGTGGGCCTCCAGTGCTGTGGGTGGGTGATTCAGGCCTAAGGAGTTCTCTCTTCACATTTAGGACAATAAGAACTTTTTCTGCAAAATCCTCCTAGCAGGAACCTTGACATTCAGGTTTCTTTTCTTCAACTCCCTACCCTCCCTTACATCTGTTGCTCCTTACACCTCCATCTGGAAATTTACATTTTTCTGTGTGTTTTGCCTCAGTGGCTCCATGCAAACTGTTGATGCCTGAACCTTTCAAAGTATGCTCTAATCAAAGTGCCCTTGTGTCTGGTGATTGTTTTAACCACTTCCACAGTTTTATCTTAGACTTTGAAATGGAAAAGCATTCAACTTGCCAGTTTTCCTTCTGTTTATTTTCATCTATATCATCTTTCTAAATTGCTCCTTGTAAAGTTTTGTTGGTGATTGCGTCTCTGATGTAATGATTTCAGTGGCTGGAAGAACTGTTTAGGACTGTTAATCCTTGTGTGCCACTGGTACTGTACGCCCACCCCTAAGTGAGCAAGCTAGATTGGAACAGAAAGAGAAGGCTGTTGGGACAGTGTAAATTGTCCTTTGTTGGTGGAGAGGCATGAGATTTCTTTCAGCAGTTTTTGGGCAAATGGACTTTGAGATGCTGTGTTCAAAGATCTGAGATCTGGAAAAAGAAAATTAAACTGTCAGAGAAAACACGGCTTTCCAAAGCTTAATATCTAAGCTGTGTTTTCCAAGAACTTTGCTCTCTCTCTCTTTTTTAAAGATTTTATTTATTTATTTATTTATTTATTTAATTTATTTATTTGAGAGAGAGGTGGAGACACAGACAGAGGGAGAAGCAGGCTCCATGCAGGGAGCCCGACGTGGGACTCGATCCCGGGTCTCCAGGATCACACCCTGGGCTGAAGTTGGCACTAAACCACTGAGCCACCTGGGCTGCCCTGCTCTCTCTTTTAATCTTTCTTTTTTTCTTTCTTTTAATCTTGTTTATCCTTAGTACTTTTATCAACTGCTAATTAGTTGGTCTGATAAAAAGTTTAATTTGATACAGCCAATTGAAACAAGACACTAAAATGTGTCTTGGACTTCATTTAGTAAAAAAGCAGGTTCTCACCTTGCCCAAATACTGGAAAGTGAATGCTTTCCTTTCATTTAAGTTCCAGAGGGTAATGAATACAGAATAATTTCCATACTTTTCTCCCAGATGATTTAAATTTCCTCAGATATGCCTGAGGATGAGGTAGGCCACTTCCCTCTTGGTACCATAGGCTGAAATACACAAATGAAGTGTTTTCCAGGATTAATATTATAACTAATAAGTACAGAATGCTTATCAGGAAATATAGTACTGTTCTAAGGCTTTGGGAAGTCACCACCACTATTTTCCCCACTTTACAAATGAGGAAACTGAGGCACAGAGCAGTTAAATAACATGCCCAAGGTCACACGTCTTGTAGGTGAGTGAGCTGGGATTTGAATCACTGAGGCTATACGCCAGTTGCCTGACCAGGTCTATCTGGAGCACGGCTTTACTGCATTTTGCAATGGTTTTAGCACTAATCTGGCGTTCGATCTTTGTTCATCCATGCATTAATTCAACACATGAGAACTGCTTGAAAGGAGAGAGGGAGTACCTGTGCCATGACAGACTATGACCAGGAGTTACAGCCAGGTTAGGGATCTCATCAGGGAGGCTTCCCAGAGAAAGAGGGACAAAGTGGCAATGATATGAAGATGAAAAGAAGAGCATTTGCAAAATGACTTATCTTGAGTTTTGTTTTTTTATAGGATCTACTTTTCACCTGAAACCTCAGAGCAAAGTGCTCATGTTTTGTATAATGAAAACAAAGTGAGCTGTAGAAAGCAAGTAGCCAAGAAATCAAACCTGAGAAATAGGAAAAACTGAGAGCCAGGGAAGCCACTCATCTTGTGTACCTCACAACCAGAGCTATTGGTGGTCACCTTTCAGGGGTTTGAGAAGCAAGGTGGTGTGCTTCCTTATCTTTCGAAATGTGAGGCTTTGAAACTCCTTGGAGACTCCTTAGTCTCTTCAAAGTTTAGGTCTCTTTTTACCATAGTAAGACTGACAGTCTGCTTATTCCTTCCAGTTGATTTATAAATGTGTGAATAGTAAAGAAAGAGAGCAAGATGAGCTGGGCTTTGGAAGAATGGAAAGAGGGCCTGCCTACGAGAGCTCTTCAGAAAATTCAGGAGCTGGAAGGCCAGCTGGACAAACTGAAGAAAGAAAGGCAACAAAGGCAGTTCCAGCTGGAAACTCTGGAGGCTGCCCTGCAGAAGCAGAAACAGAAGGTATCGCTGAAACGCTGCCATTTAAAACTGTTCATTCAGTATTTGGATGAATTGATCTTGGTCTGAAATTTTGAGAAAAATGCTATATCTTCATGTGGTTATCTGCTCCTTTGCCCCTCATTTCTGCTTACCTGCTAATATTGAAGGCTGCTGAGTTCCATTTTATTTGTTTGTTTATTTATTTATATTTTTTCCATTTTATTTTTTGTTTTTAAAGTTTTTAATTAATTTATTTGACAGAGAGATAGAGCCAGGGAGCAGAAGCAGGAGGAATGGCAGAGGGAGAAGGAGAAGCAGGCTTTCTGCTGAGCCCAATGTGAGACTCGATTCCAGGACCCTAGGATCATGACCTGAGCTGAAGGCAGACACTTAACTGACTGAGCCACCCAGGCGCCCCTCCTGACTTCTATTTTAATTCTGTTTGGGACCACACATTGGAAATTACTTTTATATTCTGTACCAACATGGCCAGAATTCTCTGGCTTGGAGCCAGTATTAGGGCACTTTGCAGTCCAAATGGATATTGCTCTCTGAGGGTGGGCTTTTCACCTTGGTATTCCCAGACTTCTTCTCTTCTGGGCTAGGATATGAAAAACAAAAACAGTGCTTCTTCCTTCCTTCTGCATTAGCCAACGAGGTAGTGGTACAGTCACTGCTTCTAACATGGCTTTGCTAGTGGGAGAATTTTACAATAATTGGCTTCAACGGCCAGACTTTCTTTAAGATTTTATTTATTTGAGAGAGGAGGGAGAAAGAGCATGAGTGGGGGAGGAGCAGAGGAACAAGCAAACTCCCTGCTGAGCAGGAAGCCCGACCTGGGGTTCTGTCCTAGAACCCTGAGATCATGACCTGAGCCAATGTCAGATGCTTACCGACTGAGTCATCTAGGTGTCCCAGTAGCGAGACTTTAAAATGAATTGCTAAGGGAGATTTAGAGGGTTTCTTTTTGACTTTGTTGTACTTGAAAGGACATTAAAGCCTCCTTTTCCAGGAAGGGTATGTATAGCCCTGACCAAAGACCATGTAATTCATGACTTTGTAGAACTTTTCTATCTACCAGCTTCAGAGTGAGATCATGTAAAATTGCTGTGTGCCTGGGGGCACCTGGATGATGCAGTCGGTTAAGCATCTGATTCTTGGGTTTGGCTCAGGTCGTGACTTCGACTTATGAGATCCAGCCCAGGTCAGGTTCCGAGCTCAGTATGGAGTCCACTTGGACTTTCTCTCCCTCCCTCTGCCCTCACCTGTGCTCCTGCGCTCTCTCTCTCTATCTCTCTCTCTGCTCTCTCAAATAAGACTTTCTCTCCCTCCCCTGCCCCCACCTGTGCTCCTGCGCTCTCTCTCTCTATCTCTCTCTCTCTTGCTCTCTCAAATAAAAAAAAAAAATTCTGTGTTCATGAAGCTTTGAAGCATTCACATGTGGATCACAGCAACCACATCTCAGTAATTAGTCATCAGTGTTAACACTCAGATTTACAATTTGTGGTAAATTCATGAAGTAAGAGACCTCCTTCTTTCTGCATGATCTCCATTAGGTTGAGAATGAGAAAACGGAGGGTGCAAACCTAAAAAGGGAGAACCAAAGCTTGATGGAAATATGTGAGAATCTGGAGAAGACCAAGCAGAAAATGTCCCATGAACTTCAAGTCAAGGAGTCACAGGTGAATTTCCAAGAAGGGCAACTGAACTCCAGCAAAAAACAAATAGAAAAACTGGAACAGGAACTGAAAAGGTAATTTTTTTTTTGAATGGTATTTCTATGAATGTCCTTTATATGTGTGCATTGGATGCTTTTGTCTTTTCCTTTAATGATGTAATTAAACGTTGCAGTCATTTTCCCAGTGAAATAGACAGTGACTTGAGGAAAATTAATTCTGTGCTTCAGTCTTATCATTGCATGGCTCAGTACTTCATCAATTCATTAAATGGCTTACTCATTTATTCATTCAAGATGTATTCATTAAGCTGCTTCGTGGGGCAGATGTTGTATTTGTTACTGGATGATGTAATGGTAAATAATACCAAATCTCTCAACAGTGGTTACTAGAAGATGGAGGGGAGCTGAGCATGGCTAATACTGATGGCTTAGGTTTCCTTCCACTGGAAGAGAACTAGGGAATTTCAAAAGCACCTAGGAGCACTGAGGGCCCAGTTGAGGTTGGAGACCAGGAATTTATACTGGGACCCATCTACAGAGTTGTATGCTTTTTTTTTTTTTTTCCCCTCCCATTTTTTCCTTTTAGCATCTGGAATATAAATGGTGAGCATGTGAATGGGAGGATTGACTAGGGTTGTTTTTGGCCAGGGTAATGGGATGGAAGACGGTGGAATAATTGAGGATGCTGGGGAAAGAGTGGTTAAAACTGTGTGCTGTGGAGTCTACGCTGGAGAAGGAAGGAAGCATATTTAAGAAGAGGTTCCTACTGAGATCCACATCTTCAGCATTACATAACCAATTTGCCAGTTTAAGCAATAAAAAACGGTGTTTATGACTTCTTTTCCATTAAAAAAAAATCCCCAAACAACTTGAGACATTAGTCAAAATAAATCTAGTGGGAGCAAAATTGCTAGCTTATAGATGGTATCTTTTCTTGTTCTAATAGTGGAGTTTGGTCAAAATAATGAGGAGTAAATACAGGCGGAAAGCAAAGTGGACTATAGCAGATTGCCCATGTGGATTCTACTAATCTATACCCAGAAATTAAAAAAAAATTTTTTTTGAAATAACTTTAGATTAACAGAGAGAGTTGTTAACATTTTATATAACGAAAGTGCAATGACCAAACCAGAAATAAACACTGATTCAATACTATGAACTAAACTATGGACCTTATTAGAATTTCACTAGTTTTTCTGGTCATGTGCTTTCTCCATTCCAGGATCTGATCCAGGATTCCACAGTACATTTGGTTATTTTCTTAGTCTCTTTCTAAGCTGTGACAGTTTCTTGTTTCTTGTGTCCTTGAAATTGTTGAAGAGTCCTTGTCACTCTTGTGTAGAATAGTCCTCAATTTCATTTCGTCTGCTGTTTTTTTTTTTTTTTTTTTAATGATTAGATCAGGGTTTTTCAAAGTGGCACAGTTCACATTTTGGACTAGATGGTTGTTTGTTGTAGAAGGCCGTCCTGTCGTTGTAGGATACTTACCCAACATTTCTGGCCTCTACCCACTACATGCCAGTAGCACCTACCCCAGTTGCAAGTTTTGATAATCAAAAATGTCTCTAGGCATTGCCAAATGTTTTTTGGGAGTGTAGAATCCTCATGGATTGAGAACCACTGAGACAGATTGAGGTTATAAATTTTGGGTGAGAATACACAGTAGTAGTGCTGTGCCTTTCTCAGTGTCTCCTATCAGAGGGTACATGACCTAATATGACTTTTACCTTGATGGCCTGGTTAAGGTGTTGTCTGGGTTTCTCCATTGTGAAGTTACTATTTTTCCCATTGTAATTAATAAGTATCTTGAAACCAAGAAATTTTTTTTTCTTAACTCTAGTAATCTTTTTTTTTTTTTTTTTTTTTAAGATTTTATTTATTCATGAGAGACAGAGAAAGAGAGGCAGAGACACAGGCAGAGGGAGAAGCAGGCTCCCTTCAGGGAGCCGGGTGTGGAATTCTATCCTGGAACCCCAGGATCACACCCTGAGCCAAAGGCAGATGCTCAACCTCTGAGCCACCCAGGCGTCCCTAGCTCCAATAATCTTAATTCTACCTATCAAACATATTTTTCAAAGTTAAGACATTTTAAAAGTACTCTTATCTTCCTGTGAAGATAATTTAGATACACAGAAATCTTTTCCTAATTTTGTTTCCTATCTATGGGGGAAAGTGGCTATCTATAAGTTGCATGTTAGAATGAAAAATAACTTCTATCTCATCGAGTTTTTTTTGTTGTCTTTATTTTATGCCATACCAGACTCCATGAGAACAGGGACCTTGTCTGTCTTATTGGTATACCCTTGCAACTACCAGTTGTAGGCCTTCACATATTTGTCAAATGAATAAATGAAAGATAGGCAGTTGTTTTGGAAAACAGAAGCTAGGGAAGTGGAAACTTACTTTCAGAATGCCAGAATAGTTTTCTTTGAAAGCACATTTTGGCTGCTGGTTATATGGTTAAACTGGTTTTGTTTTTATTTTTAAAGATGTTATTTATTTATTTGAAACAGAGAGAGAGAGAGAGGGCACAAGTTGAGGGAAGGGCAAAAGGGGAGGGAGGAAGAAATAATCCCAAGCCGACTCCCTCCTGAGTATGGAGCCCCGTGCAGGCATGGGTCCTGTGACCCTGGGATCATGACCTGAGCGGAAACCAAGACTCAGTTACTTAACCGGCTGAGCCATGTAGGCACCCCAGAGATACTGGTTTTAATAATTTAAACAAATGTTTGTATTTTTAACATTTTAGGCAAACATACTTTTGTATACATATCTGTATTTTATTGCAAAGTGACATTTGGTAGCAACACTTGCAGATATAAAGTGCTGAGTTGTGTGTGATACCTAGCAACTTGGAAAGTGTTAGCATCATTATTATCGGTTGTTATAGTTGGGATTAGGATAGTACACTTAGTTTAAAAGTCTTCTTATTACCTATGATGTAGATATAGATATTTATAAATGGTATAAACCTCAGACTGTAAAAACTATTAAGAGTACAGTTTTCTAGAATATAAAAACTATAAACTACAGAAACTTGAGTATATTCAAATTCACACCAGTAACCTTAAAGTACAGGGCAGAAACTTATCTTCTCCATCAGTGGGCTCTGATTAGGTTTCTGGAAGGTCTCCAACAAATTAGGTTGAACTATTTGAAATCTTGGTCAAAAACGGTTGAGTATTGACAATCTCAGAGTTAAACCTAGTAGAGAACAGCTTAAATTAGTGGTTTTTTTTGGTGGCACTTTGTGTTTTTCTTCATAGGAAATAGGAGAAGTAAAGATTTATAGAAAAAATAGGGTATAGTTTAAAACGAATAAACTTTTTTGTAATGAAAGAATAGGCAGAGGGGGATGACATGTGGATTTGAGAGGCAAAAGAAACACTGATTTTATAAGGTTCTTTAAAATTCATCTCTAGAGTCACCAAACTTACTACACCTTTGCTAGACTAGACCTGACCTATTCATCATGGTAGCTACTGGCTACATATGCCTATTAATTGCTTGAAATGTGGCTATTACAAATTGAAATGTGCTGTAAGTATGCAATGCATACCAAATTCTGAAGGTTCTATACAAAAAATAACTATTTCAATAATTTTAGTATTGACTGTAAGTTGAAATGATAGTATTTTGAAAATATCGAGTTAAAAAATACTAAGATTAAATTCAGTTGCTTCTTGTTACTCTTTACATATTAGTAGAACCTTTCTATTGGACAGTACTGTTACCTACCATAAACTTGAATGTGATGTTTTGATTTGCAGAGCAGTTCTTTTCAGCCCAAACATTGCTTTTTTTTTCCTTCCCAGATTGAATTTGGATCTGAGTGGAACTAGGACACTGGGACACTTTCTTCACTATTTGTTTTTTTAAAGATTTTATTTATTTATTCATGAGAGACACACACACACAGAGAGAGAGAGAGAGAGAGAGGCAGAGACACAGGCAGAGGGAGAAGCAGGCTCCAAGCAGGGAGCCTGATGTGGGACTCGATCCCGGGACTCCAGGATCATGCCCTGGGCTGAAGGTGGCACTAAACCGCTGAGCCACCGGGGCTGCCCTTGTTTTGTTTTTAAATTAAAGATTTTATTGATGAGAGAGTGAGTGAGAGAGGAAGAGAGTATAAGCTGGGGGGCTGCAGAGGGAGAGGGAAGGAGCAGGCTCCCTGCTGAGTAGGGAACCCCTTCCCCCCTCACCAGTGTGGGACCTGATCCCAGGACTCTGAGATCATGACCTGAGCCGAAGGCAGAGGCTTAACCAACTGAGCTACCCAGGCGTCGTCTTTACTCATTTTGAGCAACATGTCCATGAGAAAGAGACTGCTGCCCATTATTAGCTGTTCTGTAGATGTTCATTTCTTGTGTTGAGCTAAAATCAGAGAGACATTGTAGACTTGTGAGAATTGAGTCCTCTTAACTTAGGTAGTTTGAGTCTGAAAGCTTTTCTGTATATATGTATGGGAATATTCTGTACATATATACATATATGTATATTCTGTACATATATACAGTATATAGCTTACTTTTCCCATCCCATTGGGACTGTTGCCAGCCCTGTCTTCTCTACATGCACTATGTTAACTTGATGTTTGTGTCTGTGTTTTTAAAATGTCAAAATGCGTGACAGGTCTATGTTTTTGTAATTATTTAATATCACAAGTGATACTCAGTTTTGTGATTTGAGCCCATGCTTCAGGGATACCAGTTTCTAGGTTTCTTTCTTTCCTTTTTTTTTTTTTTTTTTAAAGATTTTGTTTATTTATCTGAGAGAGAGAAAGGGAGAGACACAGGCAGAGGGAGAAGCAGGCTCCATGCAGGGAGCCCGACGTGGGACTCGATCCCGGGTCTCTAGGATCAGGCCCTGGGCTGAAGGCAGCACTAAACCGCTGAGCCAACCGGGCTGCCCAGTTTCTATGTTTCTGAAGTTCTGGGGGTTTTGTTTATTTGTTTGTTTTAAATATTCCTGTCTTTAAATATTCTCTTTAAATATTCCCTTTGGCTTAGAGTATACAATTTGCTCAGAATAAATCCCCAGCCTCTCAACTCTACTACAGTGTGGTCATTTCAGATCTTCACTGTAACCTTTATAACATTGTAATTATTGGTTTATATTTCTGTTTCTCTAACCAGACTGAGTTCCTTTGAAGGGGGGGGGGGGACTGAGTTTAGGTCTGTCACATAAGTTAATTCTTATTAAAATCTGTTGGATGGATGAAATGATAAGAATTCTTAGAGGGTGGGGTTTTTGTCAGTTTATTACCCTTAGGGAACATGTGGTGCTGGCATTCTGTAGCGTTTGCTCTGATTTGGTGTCCTCTTGGGTCCTTTTTCTAACAGGTGTAAATCTGAACTTGAAAGAAGCCAACAAACCGCACAGGCTGCAGATGTCTCTCTGCATTCATGCACGACACCACAAAAAATTTTTGCAACTCCACTAACACCAAGTCAATATTATAGTGGTAAGGATTTTTTTCCTTCATAGCTCTTTTACTGGGATTTTAATGTGGCCACAGAAATCAATTAATTCATCTTTGAATTTAACTTTTAACTTGGGCATTAAAAAAGGAACCCTTTTAATTTGGTCATTAAATGGGCTCCATATCCATTTGTGTATCTGTTAAGCTACCAGGTTAATTAAGCCTTTAAACTTTTCATTTTATCCTGTAGTGTATTTTAAAAATAATCCTGGTTTGGAATATCCAAACCCAGCATCTGTTTAGGTAGGGTACCACGATATTTGTTCCTAGACTATTGTAATGATTGTTGATCTGTGAACTCCTTTATGAGATCAGTGACCAAAGTAAAACTGTATATCATTATCTTTGTTTAGGTTCCAAGTATGAAGATTTAAAAGAAAAATATAATAAAGAAGTTGAAGAACGAAAAAGATTAGAGGCAGAGGTTAAAGCTTTGCAGGCTACTACAGTAAGTTAATTGTGGGCCTAATGATAGAGCATGCAGTTGAAGTCCCTTGATATTAGGAGTACAAGGTTGGAGAAGAAATCTGGTTCATGGAGAGCTTGACACATTTTTCTTACATTGAGAATAGAAAGTTCCTGGCCGATTACGTTAGTTATAATTACTTTTTTGGTTTTATTTTAATCAGTCAATCAATTAATTAATTATTTTTAAATATTTTATTTATTTATTCATGAGAGACACAGAGAGAGAGAGGGGCAGAGACACAGGCAGAGTGAGAAGCAGGCTCCATGCAGGGAGCCTGATGTGGGAATCGATCCTGGGACTCCAGAATCAGGCCCTGGGCCGAAGGCAGGCACTCAACTGCTGAGCCACCCAGGGATCCCACTTTTTTGGTTTTAAAAACAAGTTGGGGGGATCCCTGGGTGGCACAGCGGTTTAGCGCCTGCCTTTGGCCCAGGGCCCGATCCTGGAGACCCGGGATCGAATCCCACGTCGGGCTCCCTGCATGGAGCCTGCTTCTCCCACTGTGTGTCTCTGCCTCTCCCTCTCTCTCTCTCTCCCTGTGACTATCATGAATAAATAAATAAAATCTTTAAAAAAAAAAAAAAACAAGTTGGAGTAAAAAAAATAGTGTGGGGAGAGCAATTTCTCCCTATAGATACTAGGTGTTCATCAAATTCTACAGAAGCTGTAGCCATATAATTATTTACCCATTGAGATCTAATGGTAAGGAAAGGGTAGGACCAGGGCCATTGCAGACACTCACTGGCTGGCTTTATCACCTAGAGGCCATCGATCACTTCCCATTTAATCCTTATGGGATGTGCTGATTGCCGCCAGGGACATGGGGTTTGAGGGTCATTATTTATATGAAATGCTTATATTTTTTATTTTAAATTTTTTTAAATTTACTTATTCATGAGAGAGAGGGAGAGGGGCACATAGGCAGAGGGAGAAGCAAGCCTCACAGGGAGCCTGATGTGGGACTCCGATCCTGGGACTCGAGGATCACACCCTGAGCTGAAGGCAGATGCTCAACCGCTGAGCCACCCAGGCATCCCACCATTGGTGCTCTTGACATTGATTCCTAGAGTTTTGTTTTTTTTTTTCTGGAGGAGTTTGAATTTCTATGAACATGAAACCTTTGGCAAGAATAGCTTTTGCTATAAAAAATTCAATGCAGTATCTATAGCCATGTCTTGATATTTGCCAGAATGGAGGTAGAGAGAAGAACAAAAGAGAAGCGTGGGTGGCTCAGTTAAGTGCCTTTCTTCGGCTGAGGTCTTGATCCTGAGGTCCTGGGATCGAGTCCTGTGTCAGGCTCCCTGCTCAGCAAGAGGTCTGCTTCTCCCTCTCCCTCTGCCCCCACCCCCCATCCTCCCGCTCATAATCTCTCTCAAATAAATAAATAAAATCTTAAAAAAAAAAGAGAAGAGAAGAACAAAAGAAAGAGATAAAGGGGATTTATTTGATGAGCCCTGAGAAATATATAGAATTGTTGAATCATTGTACACCTAAAACTAATATGATACTGTATGTTAACTATACTTGAATTAAAAAAAAAAAAAAGAATTCAACGCAGTAGCAAATCCACAAATGTGTATTATATAACATAAAACACCTTATATGACATCTTTTGGGAGTGATATGGTGGCAAGTGAGATTCTTGAAAGAGTTCTTTAGGTTAATATTTAGTTTTGATTCTCTATGTGCAAAGTTAAGAGGGGAGGCCACCAAGGACAGGCAAAGGAAAACCAAATTTCAGAATTCAAAATGGTGGTGAATACTCTTATATTTAATGGATTATATGAGGGCTGCAGAATAAATATAAAAACTGAACCCATGTTAATAGATGGTACTCAGATGGTATTGGCTTAACCCTTCAATGCTAAAGTCTAACCAATAGAATGTTCTCACCCTGGATATTGGGACCTAATGGTTCCCTTAACTTGAACATTCATTCTTGGCACACAGCAGAAGTGTTAAGTTCTTGGCATTATGTCTTTATGTTCTGTCTGAAAATAAATAGCCTTGAATATTGAGATGTGTAACGGGTTCTAAAGAGTTTCTATCTTTACAGAAAGTGAGTCAGGCTATTCCCCAAAGCACAATGAATCACCGGGACATTGCACGGCATCAGGCCTCTTCATCTGTGTTCTCATGGCAACAAGAAAAGACCCCAAGTCGGCTTTCATCGAGTGCACTAAAAACTCCCATGAGAAGAGATTTGTCTGCAGCTCATTTATCTGGGGAACAAGAGGCGACTCCAAGTAGATCAACTTTGCAAAGAGGGAAAAGAGATGCTAATGGCAGTTTCTGTGATAATTCGAGCAATTCTCATCTTTTGGAACAATTAAAAGCCCAGAATCAAGGTAACTTTTTGAGCTAAATTGAATTGAAATTAAATTTTTCCTGAAGTAATTTCAGAGATAATCCTAGATGTTTTTAGCCCTATGAGATGCTCGTGTATTTTGTTAGACACATCAGAGGTCAACATCTCAATCTGGTGATAGGAAATAGTGTTTGGGGAGAGAAAATACCACGGTTTTGGGATGTACTTTTTTTTTTTTTTTGTACTAAAAAGCTGGTGCCCTGAAGCCTTCAAAAGTAGGATGAGTGGCTTTCTCTTTCTAGAAGTAGGGAGTACAGGTCAGTTATAGTTGTCACTCCTTATACTTCTCCCCTGGCTAATATTGTGGCCCATGGAATAAACCTGTGGTCTGTACATCTTTGGCCAGGGGTGTGGCATGTGCCTACAGAGCAGAGCATCTTTGCTCTGCACTGCCAGGTTGTCCATATGGGAACAAACCTGTAACCTTGGCCGGGGTACCACACTGCAGCTGACAGCCAAGGGGACCAGGTGGTGTTTTGGAATCTACTCTGCAGACTATGATAATTTCCAGTGGTATGATATATTGAAAATCACCATCAATGTTCACTGGTGAGAACTGTCACACTGCCAATGCCATTGGAACCACTGTTGTGTGTATGTAGGAAAAAAAATTTAAAAATTATTGTTAATTTTGGCAGTATAGGAGGTTCACACTGTCTTGATCTTTCCTGGAGGTAAAGCTACCAGAGGATATGGGAGGGTGAATTTTGTACTGCTTTGAGCTCATTTGTATTGATACGGGCACAGAACAAATATTAGTTTGCCAGTGTATCAAACCAAGTGGTAATTTTAACGTAGGGTATCATATGGCATGCGCTTTTTGCAGCCACAATAAAATACTCTTCATGATTTTAGAAAACCATTTTCTTTCCCAACTTTCTCTGAAAGCATTAGAACATTTGTTTCTTCTGCTTCCTGTGGGGTATTTGAATACAAGTGATAGAGACTAACCATTGAAATTAAATCCAATTAAAGTAGTTTCCATGTTTAGTGCCAATTGACTTATATCTGTCCCACCAAAGACTTCAGAGCAGGGTAATAACATAAATGATACATTCTGCCTTTAGTTGTAAATTTTTTGTGAAAAATAGATATTAACTAAAGTGTGGGTTTTGTTTGTGATTTAAGAGCTAAGGAACAAGATAAGTGATTTGGAACTACATCTGCAAGGACAAGAAAAAGAAATGAAAGGCCAAGTGAATAAATGTCACGAACTCCAACTCCACCTGGAGAAAGCCAAAGCGGAATTAACTGAAAAAGAGAAAATTTTGAATAAAAGTAGGGATGAACTCATGAGAACAACAGCACAGTATGACCAGGCATCATCCAAGGTACTGGACATTTCGTGCATTGTTGAAAACCTACATTTTGTCATCGAGTTCTTTGGAAATTCTTTTCATACAAAATTTTAACACTTAAAGTTATGAAATAAATGTTAGTAATGAACCTCATTAATACACACTAGGCAGTATTGGTACAATTGAACTAGTAAGTTCTTTTAGAATTGGGTAGATGTGGGGTCAAATCCAGATTGCATGTTTTCCCAGCAAAGTGACTTGGGCAAGTCACTGATCTCTTGTCCATCGAAGAGGGTGGGGAAGATTAATATTATGTATATATTGCACTTGACATATGCAAGAGGTGACTAAGTGATGGAACTTTCAAAGCGGTTTAGGACTTAAGATAAAATTTAATTAATCGACTTTTGGATCCAATGTGTGTACTCCCAAAATTTAAGCTTAATGCTCCAATTAAGGCCAAGCTTCTTAGCGTGTTTGAGGGTGTTTTGTTGTTGCTTGGCCCCCAACCTACCTCTAATGTTTTATTACTTTTTTTCTATTCATTTATTCAGACTCATTTGACAAATATTTGTTGACTGTCTACTGTTTGTCAGGCACTGTTCTAGACCTGGGGTGAAGCAGTGAGAAAATAGACAAAAACTATTGCTGTTGGAGAGCTTCATCGTAATGGTGGATGTAGCATAAATATATAGTTGTGTAGATAATATGGTGTATGGTAACAAGTGTAGAGAAGGGTGGACCTATCTTCTAGGACCAACTGATTATTTGGTGTTTCCTGAACCCAGTCTTCATCTGGGTCCAGTGTTTCTTTCTTCTTCTAATTCTTTTTTAGTTATTTATTTTAGAGGCAGCATGTGTACATGCAGTGGGGGGCAGAGGGTGAGAGAGAATCTCACTCAGACTCCCTGCTGAATGAGGAGCCTGATGTGGGGCTCGATCTCATGACCCTGAAATGAGCCAAAATCAGAAGTTGGATGCTCAACCAACTGAGTCACGCAGGTGCCCCGATCTGGGTCCAGTGTTTTGCTCACATTTGCCTTTCTGCGTGGCATACTCTCTTCTTGGAATACTCTTGATATTTTCCTCAACCTGTGAGCTCCTTCCTTCATCTCTTATGCAGTGAGATCTTTTCTCCTGGCATCTCTCTTAATGATCTTTTTATTGTCATCCCTTGTGTCCTGGCCCTGTGGGTTCCCACATTTGGCTAATTGTCAGAATCACTGAGAACCTGGCAAAACTAATCCTGTTGGACCTATGTCTGATGTGGGCTTAAGGAATTTACTTTAATCAACTCTAGATATTTCCAAGGCAGTAGATAAGAACCACTGTAGTAGGTAGACCTCTATCTTCTGTTTGCCTCCTGAAGGCAGGTTTGTTCGTTCACTCTTATCTCTTTTCTTTCTTTAAAAATTATTTTAAGGTAATTGTAGATTCACATGTAGTTGTACGAAATAATAGCTTTTAATATGGTGTGTTAACGTTGATGGCTTTTCAAATATTTGAACAAGCCTTATGTCCTTAGAATAAGCCCAATATAGCCATGGTATGTAATTCTTTTTATATATTTCTGGATTTTATTTGCTAACCATTTGTTGAGGATTTTTGTGTCTATATTTATGAGGGATATTAGTCAGCTGTTTTCTATTTTTGTTTTGTCTTTGGTATTTGTATCAGAAGTCATACTAGTTTCATAAAATGAATTGGGAAGTGTTCTCCTATTCTGTTTTTGGAAGACATTGTGTAGAATTGGTGTCGTTTCTTCTTTATGTTTGATAGAATTCTCCATGAAACCGTCTGGGCCTGGAGATTTCTTTTTTGGGAGTTTTAAAATAACCAATTTAAGGGGTACCTGGGTGGCACAGTCAGTTGAGTGTCTGACTCTTGGTTTCAGCTCAGGTCATGATTTTATGGGTTATGAGATCAAGCTCCACGATGGGCTTTGTACTCAATGTGGAGTCTGCTTGAGATTTTCTCCCTCTCCCTCTGCCCCTCCCGCTTGTGCTCTTTCTTTCTCTCTCTCTAAAATGAATAGATCTTTAAAAAAATTGCAAATTTAACTTTTAAAATAGATATAGGGCTATTAAAATTATTTCATGGGCACCCATGGTAGCTCAGCAGTGTAGCACCACCTTCAGCCCAGGGCCTGATCCTGGAGACCCGGGATCAAGTCCAATGTCAGGCTCCTTGCACGGAGCTTGCTTCTCCCTCTGCCTGTGTCTCTGCCTCTCTCTCTCATTCTGTGTCTCTCATAAATAAATAAATAAAATCTTAAAAAAAAAAAGTATTTCATACTGAAATGAGTTGGGATACCTTGTGTTTTTAGAGGAAATGGTCCGTTTTATCCAAATTTTTAAACTTAAAAATGTAGTTATTTGTAGTAATTCTTATTCTTTTGATATTAGATAATAATCTCTGTTTTTGATATTTCTGTCTTGTTTTCTCTTTGTCAGTCTTGCTAGAGATATGTCAATTTTTGTCAGGAATAACAATAAAATTTGTCAATTTGTTATTTCCAAAGAATCAGCTCTTTTGTTCGCTTATTCTCTATTATTTTCTTTTTCCAACTTTATCTGTTTTTACTCTTATTTTCCTCTGCTTGCTTTGGGCTTATTCTGCTCTTTTTTTCTAGGTTATTGAGATGGGGAGCTTAAATAATTGATTTGAAACTTTTCTTTTCCAGTGTAGGCATTTCAAGGTATAAATTTCCCTCAGTACTGCTTTAACTGTGTCCTACAAATTTTGATATATTGTATTTTTTATTCCATTCAATGTATTTTTAAAACATTTTTCTTGAGACTTCCTCTTTGCCTCATGGATTACATAGAAATACCTTGTTAGGGATCCCTGGGTGGCGCAGTGGTTTGGCGCCTGCCTTTGGCTCAGGGCGCGATCCTGGAGATCCGGGATCGAATCCCATATCGGGCTCTCGGTGCATGGAGCCTGCTTCTCCCTCTGCCTGTGTCTCTGCCTCTCTCTCTCTCTGTGAATATCATAAATAAATAAATTAAAAAAAAAAAAAAAAGAAATACCTTGTTACATTTCCACGTGTTTGGAGGTTTTCTTCTTTCTATTATTGATTTCCATTGTGTTCAGAGAACACACTTAATGATTTCAATTCTAAGTTTGTTGAGGCTTGTTTTATGGCCTGACAATGGTCTATCTTGGTATATTTCATGGGCACTTGGGGAAAAAAGGTATTCTCTTGTTGAATGGAGTGTTCTAAAATTATCCTTAGCCCCAAATTATCGATTGGTTGTTGGTGTTGTTGAATTCTCCTATATATTTACTGGTTTCCTGTCTATCAGTTTTTGAAAGAAGGATGGTGAGAGTCTTCCGTAATTGTTGATTTATCTATTTCTCCTATCTGCAGTTTTTGCTTCACATATTTTTTTTTTAAGATTTTATTTATTTATTCATGAGACACACACACACACAGACGACACAGAGAGAGAGAGAGAGAGGCAGAGACACAGGAAGAGGGAGAAGCAGGCTCCATGCAGGGAGCCAGATGTGGGACTCAATCCTGGGTCTCCAGGACCAGGGCTGAAGTCGGCACTAAACCGCTGAGCTACCCGGGCTGCTCTCACTTCACATATTTTATAGCTCTGTAGCATATGCATTTAGGATTGCTATGTCTTATTGGCTGATTGACCTTTCTCATTGTATTATAGCCTTCATTGTCTCTGGAAATTTTCTTCATTCTGAAGTCTACTCATTCTGATATTAACATAGCCACTCCACGTTTCCTTTAATGTTTGCATGATGTATTTCTTTCTGTCTTTTGGCTTTCAGCCTATCCTTTTATTATTATATTTGAAGTGAGTTTTGCATAGACAGTATATAGTTAGATTTGTTTTTTTAATCTACTCTTCCACCATCTGTCTTTTAATTAGCATATTTAGGCCATTTACATTTAATGTAATCACTGATAGGTCATGGCTTAAAACTGCTATCTTATTTATTGTTTTCTATTTCTTTTTGTTTTTCATTTTGTTGTTTCCTGTGGGTTACTCAAACCTTTTGTAGAATTTCATTTTAATTTATCTAGTGTTTCTGGATGTATTTCCTTGTAGAGCTTTTATAGTGAGTGCTTTAGATAATACATTATATATACATACCATTTATCTGTCTTCTGGTTGTCATGTAAGCAGCTCTAATGGATTACAGAAAACTTACTATTCTTTTCATCCTTTTACTTTCCCCTATTTATAATCCCATTTTCTTAAGTGTTTTCCCTACCTACATTTAGAACTACATCAGACAGTGTTAGAATTTTTGCTTTAACTGTCAAACATAACTTAGACTTTCTTTCTCTTCTCCACTTTTCTATCATTTATACCAATATCGTTGCTTACTTTGTTTTCTTCTTTCCCAATCTCTTCCAAGGTTCCTTATTTCATCATTTCCTTTTTGTTTAGAGAACTTCTTTTAGCCTTTTTTTTTTTGGGGGGGGGGGTTGATCTACTGGCCACATACTCCCTTAGTTTTCCTTTCTCTTGATACTTTATCCTGGCAGGTAGTTCCTCAGGATACAGGGATTCTAGGCTGACTCTTCTCTTCTTTCAGCACTATCATGTATTTACCTTGAGTCCCAAAGTCCCTAGTCACTCAGTCTTCTCCTTTCAGAGCTTTCTTAACATTTGTGCAGGTTTTGAATTGTTCTCGATGGCAGGAATAGGGAAATGTATGTTTATTCTATCTTCCTGGAAGTGTTAGTCTAGGTTTATTTTTCAGACATTCTCCTAGCGCAATGCTTTGCGTAGAGATCTGTTGATAAATACTGATTCAGTGTATGAGGGTGCAGTGGAGAGTCAATGGGACCATGACCTACCTTGACATATATATTTATTCACTTTGTGCAGTCTGAGTTTGTAGGTTGTTTTTCTACGTTAGAAAGACTTGGATTTGAGCCCTGGTTCTGACACATCTCAATTGTTTTGTTTTTGAATTCTGAGCCTCCACTGCCTAATCAATAAAACGGTGTTAATAGTATCTTTGTTATAAGTTTGTTGTAAAGATAAAGATAACTTTTGTAAAGGCTTTAGCATAGTGCCTGGTACATGGTGAATTTATAATAATATATCAGTTATTATTGTGTTGAGTTCCTTGTTATTCAAGTTTATTTTCAGTTGCATTTCTGCCAACTCAAGCCTTCTTATATATAAGAATTAACTTATCCTATTATACTTTATCTTACTGGTTTTGGTGTGAAAGGATCACTGAATCTTTGTTTTATCTATCATATTTGATAAGGTCTCTTCTTACCATATCATGAACGAAAACTTTTGACTAGAACAGTGCTGAGAAGATAGCTCTGGGTTTCTATTAGAAACCATCCCCCGCCCCAGGTTCTTAAGACTCATTTGTTCAATGCTTTCTGGATTCCTTTTTTTCCAGAGAGCTACAAATCTACCTAACTGAAAATTCAGTCTGTCTTTCTCCCTCTTGCCTCTTAGGATAATAGGTCAAATGTGTTGCTGAAATCAAATTATGCCTTGTTTATGCTGTTCCCTGACCTTCCATTAGAATTACCCATTAAGTAAAATGGAACTAATTCAATCAAAATCAATACCATGTTTCTCCCCCCCCCCCCCCGAGATTTTATTTATTTATTCATGAGAGACACAGAGAGGCAGAGACATAGGCAGAGGGAGAAGCAGGCTCCCTGCAGGGAACCGAATGTGGGACTTGATCCTAGGACCCTGGGATCATGACCTGAGCCAAAGGCAGACACTCAGCCACTGAGCCACCCAGGTGCCCTACCATATTCTTTTGTGAACATACGCTGTTTCTAATATACTTCTTTTCTAAGTATTTACAAACTGTGTGGGATACAAAATTTGAACTCATGTAGAAGCATTGAGTCTGGCAGCACACCTAGAGTTCACCCACGTTTCACAGATGAAAACTCAGGCCCACAGTGCTAAGTGAGTGCCCAGAGTCATATACTACATATTTTCAAGGATTTCAGCTCTAGACACTATTTTTAGAATATTATGGAACATTCATGACACCTACTGGTCATCTATTCTTACGTGGATTATGCATCATCAGTATCAGAATGTCATTGTAAAAAATTTAAATAAAAGGTAGATGTTTTCTAAAAGCTCTTTTTAAACCTATTTTGTACTAACAAAGAATTGTGGATTCTGAGAGCTGTTAGTGGAATATGTTGCAGTTTGAAGGAGGACCAGCAGAGGGCACCAAGGGTTCATTCGTCTCTGTATGGCATGGGTTTTTTTTTTTCTTGAGAATTGTCAACCACTGAAATTTGGACCATCATTTGGGCGGTGATTTTTTTTATCTGAGTTGTTTACTGCTGCATCCCAGGTGCCTGGCACAGTGCTTGACACATAGCAGGCTCTCGATAAATATTTGTTAGATTCATATTGATTATTATTATAAACAATTTCTGTAATGCTTTTTCTTGGGGATTTAAAAATTTAAGAAGAGTAAAGATAATGAAAAGGTATCTTAATATCCAAGGCCATGGATTAATTTGACCACTGGCTCAATTATTTTTCTTTTTGAATTTGGTATATATAAAGTTCTGATAGTTGGAAAATCATTTAGTCATTAATGACCAGCTTTGTTTTTCTTGTCTTTGGTTAGTTAATCATTGGTCTCTGACTGGTCTTCTGGCAAAGTATGACGTAGTATTTTATTTTCCTCCAATTTTTCTATTAAATTTCTAGTATTTCTTTCTAATAGTTCAAAATGAGACTATAGTGAGTCTCAGAAATACTTTAGAAGAAAGATTTGCCAAATTGGGGCATATTTCTTTTAGATCAGGGATACTCCCCCATGGATATAAAGTGTTCTTATTCTTCCCTGGAAGAATGGAAACTTGAGAGTTGTTTTGTAGGGCATTTTAAGGATTTGAAAATTCATATCCTACATAGGGAAGATTCAGAGGAATGGGTTTCAGCACTTCATTTTTTTTTTTTTTTAGCCCTTGATGATTAAAGACAATTTTGCTTCAATTTAATTTTATAATGGCATCCTAAGTTATGATTATTTCATATTTTAAAACTTATTTTAAGGTATTGGCGAGGTACAAAGGCAAAAGAATGTTCTTTCTGTTGCTTAGGGCAGCTTGGTTAAAAACCAGTTATGATAATCTCTGGGGTGCTGTGAACCTTCAGAAATTTTTTTTTTCTGGTTAAATTTATTTATTTATTTATTTATTTGTTTATTTATTTATTTTTTATTTTTTAAATTTAAAAAAATATTTTATTTTTACTTATTCATGAGCGATACAGAGAGAGGCAGAGACCAGGCAGAGGGAGAAGCAGGCTCCTCACATATGGAACCCATGCAGTACTTGATCCCTGGATGTCAGGATCATTCCCTGCGCCTAAGGCAGATGCTCAACCGCTGAGCCACCCAGGCATCCCTATTTATTTTTATTTAAATTCAATTTGCCAGCATATAGTATAACACTCCATGCTCATGACATCCATGCCTTCCTTAATTCCCATCACCCAGTTACCCCATCCCCCTGCCCCCCTTCCCTCCAGCAACCCTCTGTTTTTTAAGATTAAGAGTTTCTTATGGTTTGTCTTCCTCTCTGATTTTTCCCCACTCAGTTTCCCTTCCTTGCCTTATGGTCCTTTTCCTATTTCTTATGTTCCACGTGAGTGAGACCATATAATTGTCTTTTTCCAATTGACTTATTTCACTTAGCATAATACCCTCCAGTCCCATCCATGTCGATGTAAATGGTAGGTATTTGTCCTTTCTGATGGCTGAGTAATACTCCATTGTATATATAGATCACATCCTCTTTATCCATTCATCTGTCGAAGGACATCATGGCTCCTTCCACAGTTTGGCTGTTGTGGACATTGCTGCTATGAACATTGGGGTGCAGTTGTCCTGTTGTTTCACTACATCTGTATCTGGGATAAATACCCAGTAGTGCAGTTGCAGGATTGTAGGGTAGCTCTATTTTTAACTTCTTGAGGAAACTCCACACTGTTTTCGAGAGCAGCTGCACCAGCTTGCATTCCCATCAACAGTGCAAGAAGTTTCCCCTCTCTCGACATCCTCACCAACATTTGTTGTTTCCTGTCTTATTAATTTTAGCCATTCTCATCAGTGTAAAATGATATCTTATTGTGATTTTGATTTGTATTTTCCTGATGACAAGTGATATGGAGCAGCATTTCATGTGCCTGTTGGCTTTCAGAAATTTAAAATGGTGCAGTGGGAACATTGTGGAAAGAGACATTTTAATATTTAAAATTTACCACAAAATAGATTATGCTTGAAACAAACTATCATATGAGGGTAATGGGTACCCACTGATTATTTCACAGCTTCTAAATTACACAGGTCAGCATCACTGCATTTGAACCTGTCATTTCCATGCAACAAAATATTAGATGAATCTTTATCAGAAATGCTGATTTCTTTTTTCCTAGTGCAAATTATGAAGTATTCATCTAAATGGTCTTAATAGTTTACATCTCTTCTAATATTTCCCAAATACAAGCTTTACGTATGCTAAAATAATTATAGTGGTTTTAGTATTTCTTGATCGTTTTATTCTATTTACTTATTAGTTTATTTTTTTTTTGAAGTTTTATGTAAATAATCTCTACGCCCAAACTGGGATTTGAACTCACAACCCCAACAGTCACACACTCTACTGGCTAAGCCAGCGAGGTGCCCCCACTGATCATTTAAAATCCAACTTTATTTTTTTTTAAGATTTTATTTATTTATTCATGAGAGGCAGAGACACAGGAAGAGGGAGAAGCAGGCTCCTTGCAGGGAGACTGATGTGGGACTCGATCCTGGATCCCAGGATCATGACCTGAGCCAAAGACAGATGCTCAACCACTGAGCTACCCAGGTGCCCCTAAAATCCAACTTTTAATGAAACAAAAATATCAAAATATAAAGATGAACTTGAAAGTCTCAGGACTAATTTTTCTAAAATTCAAAATAATTTGCTTCTCATCTCGGATAATTTTGTATTGACCCTTTTTATTTATTTAGTGTACTGCGTTGGAACAAAAACTGAAAAGATTGTCTGAAGATTTGAGTTGTCAGCGACAAAATGCAGAAAGTGCCAAATGTTCTCTGGAACAGAAAATCAAGGAGAAAGAAAAGGAATTTCAAGAGGTAAGGTAAATAGATTCATGAGGAGTTTGCCCTGAAGGCTCTTGTCGGGCATTTCATGGTTTTGTCATTTGAGAAGAGCTGCCGCATGTTATCTCTTGGGGTGTCCTTTGATAGGGGAACTACTTTGTGAGGAAGAGGTTTCCCGTGTTTTCCACCACACTTCCATCTTTCAGTTTTCGATTGGAGAAGCGACTGATAGCCAGAATGTTCTTTTTTATCTGTGTCCTCTGATATCTTTGAGGTCTGATACCGAGTTGGAAAGAATCATATCTCTTCTTTGAAACAACTCTCAGTTGTGAAGGAAGTTGTATCCTGTTCTCTCCCTATTTTGAAAGCCTCTGGTTGGCAGATATATTAGAAAGGTAATTGTTGCAATGGGGCAACACTGGCAGGTGAATTAGGGCTGAAGATGCCCTTCCAGAAGCATTGCTGCTGGTGCCAGTGAGTTAGCCTGGCAGAGTGTGTCGTGTGCAGGGAGACTCTCTGGTCTTTCAGTAAGGGTGCCTGGAAATGGAAATCTGGTATCCTGGTATGGTTATCAAAAGTTGAATGGTGGCATATCCTGCTGTCATTCAAAATTGTAAGTGGTGTTAGGATGTTTGAGGTCTTTTTTTCTTTTTTTTTTTTTAAGATTTTATTTATTCATGAGAGACACACTGAAGCAGAGACATAGGCAGAGGGAGAAGTAGGCTCCATGCAGGGAACCCAATGGGATACTCAATCCCAGGATCCTGGGATCATGACCTGAGCCAAAGGCAGACGCTCAACCACAGAGCCACCCAGCTTCCCAAGGATGTTTGATATCTTAAACCCCATTTTTGAGAATCTTTGATTTCCTAGCCAAGTTGTGACCCTGGCAGCTCAGCTCTCCTCCCTTTTGCCCCTGGACTTGTCGAAAGGGACATGAACATTTTAAGATTGGGGATGGGATGGAAGCTGTCTGGTTTCCATGAGGTCAACGGGCAGACTCCTTCCCCTTCCCCTCAAAGGCCTGCGTTTGATCCCCAGGACTAGAGCTAAGGATGGTTTATGTTGATCATTAAGTGAGTAGTCAGCCTGGCTCCCTAGCGCCTCCTGCTCTTTGAGCATGGCATGGCCCGCCCGCAGGAGGGTTGCCGCTTACCCTGGAGTCTCCTCGTTAACCGTCCCCGGCCCCACTGACGCCTGTGCCTTTGCTGTTTCAGGAGCTCTCTCGTCAACAGCGTGCCTTCCAAGCCCTGGACCAGGAGAGCACACAGATGAAAGGCAGACTCACGCAGGAGTTACAGCAAGCCAAGAACACTCACAATATCCTGCAGGCTGACCTGGATAAAGTAGGGAGCTGGCTTAGTTCTCTCTCCTCATTTAGTCCCCCTTTTCCTAATTCATGCATTTTCTCTAACCGCAGCTGGCCTTGTGATGCTTCTAAGGAGCTGCTCTAACCTCCCTTTCCTTATTTATCAAGGGAGAGAGCAAATGGGATCTTTCTGAGTCTGGGTTTGCTGATTTACAGAAAGAGAGGAGTGAGTAAGGATCTCAGATCTGAAGGTGGGTGGAAGGGTGTGATAGTCCGGTGGTTCGCCGCCGCGTCAGCAGGTGGGAGCCATCCCGAGTAATTTATGCCTCCCGCAAATAGCCAAAGTGCTGAAACCTATAGTCAGTTTACTTATTTAACACTCCAAAAATGATCTCATCCAGTCTTGTGGGCTTGCCTCTCATCTATATGATGACAACCCTATATAATCTTTAGCCAGGATGCATGTTCTGAATTCCAGGCTGGTGGGCGTGCACCTGATATTTCCACTTGCCTGTCCAACAGGCACCTCACACTTAGCATGATAATAGCGATAATAGCTGAACTTCAGCTATTTGTTTCAGATGTGCTCCTCCCATAATCTTCCTTATCCCAGTAAATAGCAGTTCCAGTCTTGACATCACTGAGGCCAAATCACTGTGTCATCTTCAACTCTGCTTTTTCTCTCACAGCTCAGAGTCTTCCATTAGTATTCTTCTGACTCTACCTTTATTTACACACACGTGTCTATATTTGTGTGTCTGTATGTGCCTATATTTGCATATGCATGGATATTATAACTACATTTAAACCTTTTCGAGTTAATAGACAAAATCTATATAGAACAGATTTACAATTCAATAAATTATTATTAGGAATGCTCTCTTAGGACCATTATCTGTGTCAGGGCATAGAATCTTGTCACCTACCCCAGAAACCCTCCCACATGCTTCCGACTTCCCTGCTAAGAATAAGCCTGATTTGTTTGACTTTTTAAAAAGTAAGTAAATATAAGTTATGTTTTGCTGGTTTCCAGGTTAAATAAAACCTGATAATAAAAAATAATATTTATTTATTTACTTATTTTTAAGATCTTATTTATTCACTCATGAGAGACACAGAGAGAGAGACAAAAACATAGGCAGAAGGAGAAGCAGGTTCCCTGTGGGGAACTCGATATGGAACTCGATCCCAGGACCCCAGGATCATGCCCTGAGCCAAAGGCAGATGCTGAGCCACTGAGCCACCCAGGCATCCCTGGTTTTTAGGTTTTAGAGTAGAGGTATGAACAAAACACTTAATCATAGTTACAGAATATAATGTATATATTATGGGATATAATGCACAGAATTTACCAATCTTGTCTATTCTAAGCCAATTGGTATATTTGTGTGAATTACAAAAAGGTGCCCCGCCCCCACCTCAAGACACTGATAACCATACAAACCTATGAGGACTATGAATGAATGGTGCCCCTTGGAGTTGCCTGCAGAACCATAAACTCAGGCCCTGGGTAAAGGAACACACAACTTGAAGAATAGAGAGGAGAGAAAAATATGGCTAGAAATGCACGTTTATACATTTTACCTAATAGGGAGTCAGATACATATTCAAAGTTATTAGATCAAGAAAAAGAGACTTAAGTTTATTTTTTATTTATTTATTTTTTAAGATTTTATTTATTTATTCATGAAAGACACAGAGAGAAAGAGAGGCAGAGACACAGGCAGAGGGAGAAGCAGGCTCCTTGCAGGGAGACTGATGTGGGTCTCAATCCTGGATCCTAGGATCATGACCTGAGCCAAAGACAGATGCTCAACCACTGAGCATCTTTCAATCACTTAAGTCTTTCTATGAGGAGGGGCTTTTGTCTGTTTAGTTCCCAACTCTACCTGCAACACTCAAGCACTGAATACCACAGCTCGAAAATGGCAGGTGGATTGTAGTTGTTCATTCTTTTCTTGACTTGACCCCTGTGGCTTGACAGGGTGACACATTCTAGAGTTTACTCTGAATATATCAGGTACTCATCTGTTGTCAGAGTGCCTGCCATCCATTTTCTTAGTGCTTGCTTCTTTATTTTCTAAAATTAAGGCTCTACCTCTTAGGTAGAGTCTCCTTTAATGGAAAATAGAGGTTAATTCTCAAATTCAGGATATAACCAAGTGGGACATGTTGACCTCTCTTAGAGGAACCAGAGATGGGGATACAGCCGAAACGGGAGAAGTGACTCCCTGACATCTGTTATGTGCTAGGAGTCCTCTCTATCTGGCTCTCCAAGGTTAGTTATACAAAAAAACCTCCCTTCCCAGGATAAATTGTTACTGTTTAATGGGTTTCCTCCAAGGCCTTTTAAAACAAGGCCTGTTTTGGTTTTGTTTTCTGAGCCTAGCTTTTATTGGATGTTTTGTAGTTTACTTAATTATTCTATGGGTAGAGGTTTAGGTTCTCAACATTTTCTTGTTCATTGTAGCCCCGGTGGCAACATCATGCGTGTATCTGTGTTGGTGTTTTTGCAGGACAGGTTTCCACATGTGCAATGGGCAGTCTCAAGGGCATGTGCATTCTCCCTTGTGATTGATTCTGACAAATTGGTCTCCAAAAAATTGTAATGTATCTCCTCACCTGGTCAGTGTAAGACCAGGTGTTTTCCTGTTTCCTGTTTTCGCCCATCCTTGTTAAAAGGAGATAGTTTTTGTTTTATAAATTTTGCCAGCTGAGGAGCAAAACATCTTATTCTTGTTTCATTTCATTTCTTCCTTGATTTCCACTGAGGATGTTTCTTTCAGAAGTTGATTTGCAGTTTGTATTTTTTTGCATAAAATTGTTTATATTTTTTTTCTTAAAAAATCCGTTTACCTTTTTCTCTTTCTTTCTTTCTTTCTTTCTTTCTTTTTTTTTTTTTTAAAGATTTTATTTATTTATTTGTGAGAGAGACAGAGGGAGAGCGAGAGCGAGAGGCAGAGACATTAGGCAGAGGGAGAAGCAGGCTCCAGGCAGGGAGCTCAATGTGGGACTCAATTCCCCAGACTCCAGAATCACGCCCTGGGCTGAAGGCAGATGCCCAACTGCTGAGCCACCCAGGCGTCCCTGTTTACCTTTTTCTAAATTGAGCCATAGATGTGCTTTGTTTGTCATATCATGGGTATATAATTTTTAATCTGTCGTTTAGCAAATATATTCTCTCTGTTTCTTAACTTAACTTTTTGTTTTGGTTCATTACTGTTTCATGGTTTAATTTTTTGTGAAATTTGTTTTTTTCTCTGTGGCTTCTTCTGCAAACCCAGCCCTTTTTCATCTCCTATCTGCTGTCACCCAAACTGTTCTGATGGTATCTTAGTTAAACCTATAATGCTGTATTTCGCTGTAAGGTATATCGTCTCACCCAAAATAGATGGCATCAGTTCTTATATTCTATGACTGTTTTATTTAAGAATAAATAATCTATTTAAAAAGTAACATAAATATGAAACTTTGCCTGGTTTTCTCTTTGCAGGTCACATCAGGAAAGTACCAGCTAGAAAAAACATTGGAAGAGTTTAAGCAAAAGTTCTGCAGAGCTGAACAGGCATTACAGGCCAGTCAGGTCAAGGAAAGCGAGCTGAGGAAAAGCAATGAAGTAAGTGAGGAACAGAGATGAGAATTTTTCAACTTCTGTGTAGGATGAAGTGGAAGGGAGCACTCAAACACTATTTCTTCATAGTTTATCGTGACTCTACATAATTTTCCTTTTTATTTGTCACAGTTAATTACAAAGCATTTGTATATAATCTATGACATAGAACATATATGCTTTTTTTCACTTTCCATTTGTTTATGATTATGAATATGCATCTAGCAGTTATAGGTAAACATGGCTTGTATTAAGATCATGTAGTAATTGTTTTTTATTTTTTAAAGATTATTTTAGGAGCATCTGGGTGGCTCAGTGGTTCAGTGTCTGCCTTCAGCTCAGGTTGTGATCCTGGGGTCCTGGGATCGAGTCCTGCATTGGGCTTCTTCCCTCAGAGTCTGCTTCTACCTTTGCCTATGTCTCTGCCTGTCTGTGTCTCTCATGAATAAATAAATAAAATTAAAAAAAAACTATTATTTTAGATTACCTGAGAGATGGAAAGAAGTGGAAAGAAACAAAATGAATGATGGGAAGTATAATTTAAATCCCCTTTCTAAGGCTGGCTTTTGAGTCAACACATATTAGAAACCTCGTGGAAAGTCATAGATTTGAATAAACAAAAGCAAGGATAGTTGAAGGATTTTTAGATTTTAAATTCCTATAAGGGGCTCCTGGGTGGCTCAGTTTGGTAAGCCTCAGACTCTTGATTTCAGCTCAGGTCTCAAGTTGAGATTGAGCCCCACATTGGGCTCTGCAGTGGGCATGGAGTCTGTTTGAGCTTCTCTCCCCTCTGCTCCATCCCCAGTCGTGTGCTTGTGCATGCTCTCGCTCAAAAAAAAAAAAAAAAAGACCCAAACAAGAAGTAAATGTCATTTGTTGCCCTAACATCCAAAGTCATGTTGGCATGAGCAAGGTTGATTATCTTTTTTTTTTTTTTTTTTTTTTTTTTGAGATTCATGCTTTTCACACAAAATGGTGAATGAAGTTTCTCCAGTGGCTTGGATATGAGGAGAGTGTCCTGATGTTATGGGATTTTTATCCATACTTTATTTAATTTGGCTTCTCTCTTTATTTAATGGCCTGGAGTTTGTTTGTTTGTTTATTTATTTTTTAAGAGAGGAGAGGAGACATTGGGGGGCAGAGGGAGAGAGAGAATCTTAAGCAGACTCTGTGCCCATCATGGAGCTCGACTTAGGGCTCAGTCCCATGACCCTGAATCATGACCTGAGCTGAAATCAGGAGTTGGATGCGTAACTGAGCCACCCAGGGGCCCTGGCCTGGAGTTTATCTTAAAAGGCTTATTTGAGAACCATTTAGGGACATTTGGTAGATTGAAACAGCTTGACTAGAACCATAAATCAGCACTGTAATTTTACAAAGAAGCACAGCAGAACGGTAGTTGTTTTTTTTTCTATCAAATGTCACAGGAAAGAATTTTTCCCACTTCTTTAAATCTTTTGCAATCACTTTTTAGACTAAAGATTCTTTTTTTAAAAAAAAGAATTCTGTATAAGGAACAGTTATTTATCAGATGAGGAAAGTCTAAATGTATTTATCCCCACAGCTTTGAAGAGTGTATCATGATTGTAAAATCAGAACATCTGTTGGTAGCAAGGAGGTGATCACTAAAGCAGCAGGCCTCAGAGGGGTAATGCTGCTGGGGATGGGAGGCCACAGCTCCCAACAACCCAAGTGGAAGCAAACTTCATGTCAGATGATGGTTTCATCAGCGAACGTTTTCAAATGGGAGTGTTTGTTTCAGCAAAACAAATGTTTGCCTTTTGGCCAGTGGGGACCAACCAACAGATGCTTCTGCTAACATTTCCACAGGCAGACTGGCACCGAACTCTTCCCCCTGTGAGCTTTCCTTCCAGCCAGAAAACTCTCCTGCGACTCCACTGGCTGCCTGGTGGAAACATTTTGTAGAAGCAGTCGTCTGGTTAAGAGGGTCCAAACACTGTTTGCTTGGCCAAGTCACAGTGGTGGGCTGGACATTGTTTTGCAGGTGTTTCTGGAGACTTATGCACCCCCACAGGGTCTGCTTTGCCAGCTGTAGAGCTTGTCCACCATGAACTCTAGCCCTTACATTAAATGCGTATCATGTTGCACTTAGATTTCATTGATTTCTGTGTCCTGTGAAAGAGCCTCTCACTGGGCTAAGGGATTCATGTATCGTTTGCCTTAGTTGATGTTTATGGTTAATGTGTCTTCTTTGGAGGATATCAAGAGCTCAAAGGGTTTAGCTGGCTCTTGCATTTTGAATTGAGATTGGCATTAGAAAAGTGATTTACTTGGTTAGAGTGGTGGAATAGCTCAGTAGCAGAATGGTAGCTTTAGAGTAAGAGAGACCTGAGATTGCAACTTTTTTTTGCCACCTCCCTGCTGTGTGACCTTAGGACAATGACCTAGCCTTTCTGAGTCACTCGACTTATCTGCATCTAGGCACCAATAATACCCTTCCCTTTTCCAAGCCGTATTGATGATTAAATTAAATACTGTATGTAACGTGCTTAGACCAGTGCCCAGCACATGAGTGTTTGTTTATTAGTAAAGTATTGCAGGCTCCCTGCTCATTGTCCTGGTCTCCACAATGGTCTCACCACTTGCTATCCCCTGTAGGCACAGAACGTGATGAGCAGGGGACAGTGCGTTTGAGATTTTTCACATTAACAATTTTGCCTGTTCCACTCTTCTCTCACTCTGGTATCTTTCTGTATCGAATTCTAAGTACAAACAAGCCTGGCACGCTTATAGGTTTTGGATGCTGAAATAATGCGACAGTTGGACTGAAAATTTTCCTTGTCTGCATTTAGTAAACAGATATGCTGCTCACAATGAGAAAATATCAGTACCAGAAATGTGATTTAATGGCCCAATTGATGGTAAAACTGACATGCAGTATCAAAGTAAAGGGAGACTGTAGGTAAGCTGCTCACCCCACAACCAGTGCCAGCCCCCTAGCATTGAGGGCAGGCAATAAAATACCATCATTTGATAGCCAAGATGAGGGAACACTTGCCTGGGGACCTTTCTGAGCATGAGGATCTGTAGTATACCAGGTTAGGTTCTCTAAGGAGCTTGGCCTCGCAGGCAAGAACGATGAGGTGGAAGGGGGCCCATACACCCTCTGCATCCGTCCCTTGTTCATGGTATAGACTTTGTCCCAGCAGGGGAAGTATGATGCTCCATTCATGGATGGGATCATGAAATGCCACACAGTAACCGAAATTTGTTTTGTCTGGCCCTAGAAAATGATGCTTCCCTTGCTGCTCCTAAACTGAAGTTGATCTGGGTGGAATTGCTTGCTAAGCCCTCATGCTGGCTTGTGGTGATAGGGATTTTTGTTGTGTTTTTCTAGACTAGTGTCCAATTCTGCATATCATTTGAGGATACATGAGATGCCTAGGAGAATACATCCTTGTATGCTTAACTCATTGCCGCTAATGAGCTACCCAATCAAATCTTAAGTGGCCGTGGCCTCACAGAAAACTAATTGCTGATGGATGGCAGCCTACAGATCCATTTTCAGATGTTCATTTTCCAAATTTTGGCCTTGTAAAATTCTTGGGTTGGTCGTAGCCATAGTATTATAAGCCTGCTGGGTCCCAGGATTGGCTGAACATTTTGTTAGAAACAAATATTTACGGAGCTAATGCCAGAATAGAGAAATACATGTTAATCTTTCCATTGAGCTTACTATTCATTTAAAAGCCCCCAGTTATGGACAGAGATGGATAGAGACCAGCAGACGTACAAACAAACAGAAGTTGCCCCTTTCCCTCTCTTCTCTTCCTTTTTACCTTGCTTCCTTTCTGTTGGGATGCATCCAGCTTTGAACACAGTGTCTTCTCAGCTCTGTTGCCCCTTTCCCAGATGCAGATGCCACTTGATTTGATTACTTTTTTAGGGTACGAAAATGTCATACGTTGCACAATAAAAATGGGGAGTCAACCCAGGTGGTTAAATGACAGTTATTGTTTTATATTGAACTCCTTCAGCTGATCCTATCTAGCATGAATCATGCAGTCTTGGCTGCTGTCCAATTTTGGGAAGAAATGCTAATAATGATGCTCCATTACTCTTGTTAAAGTGCTGTAGGGTAGTTTGCCTTTCACATCTGTGATCTCATTTGAGTGGTGATCATTCTGAGCCCGGAGAGCAAACAAGCGATCATAGTTTCCATAGTTTAATGATGCTTGTTCAAATCGGCAGCATCCATGCACCTTCATGGTCACTTTTTGCAGCATTTAACACGACTGGCATGAATGTCCGCCTCTCAGTCTTGATATCAGTCAGAGAGGCAGGTCAGTCCTGAGCGATCTCTTAATTTGATAGACTGTCCATTAGCTCAGGGAAGAGAGGCGGGATTGGGACAAAGGAGCCAGAGGAGTCTAACTACAACAGGCTCTGTCTTATTCTGAAGATGAAATGAACACATATGCATGAACACAGCAGCTGCCAGTAAGTTTTCAAGTCCTTTCTACTAAGCCAGATCCTCTGTCTTCTTGAATTTGGCTTTGCTGCGTGGGTACCCATCTGCTGGTAGTAACCAGACTGATAATTGAAGGCAACCTTCCAGCACAGCTTTGCCAGGGCCATCTGTTTTCTAACGGTGCTGTAGGGTTTTGGAGGACGGGTCTTAATTGTTTCTTTAAGATTCAAAAATTTCCTCTTCTTCTCAGGGGGCGTTTTTTGAAGTGCAGTTTTAAAAAAAGTTGGCCTTATGAAATATTCTCCCCCTAAGGATGTGAGAAGCTTGGTTCTGCCAATTTATAACTATATGCCAATCCCCTATGGTCCAGAGAGTGGCATATAATATAGTTCGAGATACTTCTCACCTATACTGTCATTGAAGGTTGAAAAACAGACTGAGGAATATGGAGGATTTCTTTATTATGCAAGTCTTATGTGGTTGAGAGGCAATAGTGTTTTTATTTGACATATAAACAAACATTGCTTGGTTTTTAAGATTCAAAAAGAGGCTCGTCTCCATAGTCATAGAATGGACAAGCATAGGAGTCTCTGGTGCTTTTTTGTGTGGCTACTTCACCTAATCAGGTACCTAAAGAACCTGTTTTCACTGTGAAAGCTCAGATTCCCCCATCTAGAATGAATTCTTCCTTCTATGTATCTGCCCTCTGGTTTCCCATAGCATACTCCACCTCTCTAGTATTTAGCGCATCCTGGTGTGAACTAAGTGATTAGTATCAAATCCTCCCCCACTGGAATGGGAGACCTGGCCCAAGAACAGAAGATTCTAGTCTTATTTATATTTGCATCTTTCATAACACCCTTCCAACCATCTTGCACGATATAGATTTTTTTTTAAAAGATTTTTATTTATTCATGAGAGACACACACAGCGAGAGAGACAGACAGACAGACACAGGCAGGCTCCATGCAGGGAGGCCAACTTGGGACTCGATCCTGGGTCTCCAGGATCATGCCTTGAGCTGAAGGCGGCACTAAACCACTAAGCCACCCGGGCTGTCCTGTAGATTTTCTTAATAAAAACTTCATACTCCTAAAGACATCCTCATTACAGTGAGCCTTAAAATGGTTTTACAATGAAAAGTAAAAAAAAAAAAAAAAAAAATTGGTAGTGAGTTTTGGCTTATTAGCACATCAGATCTTTGCAAAGATATAGTTGATGATTCAGATGTGATAGGACCTTGGAGCCTATGTCTTTGAGGATCTTATAAATAGGATTTTTCTTATGAGTTAACTTTTTTATTTTTGATTTTTTTGTTTTTAAGATTTTATTTATGTATTCATGAGAGACACAAAGAGAGAGGCAGAGACATAGGCAGAGGAACAAGCAGGCTCCCTGATGCAGGACTTGATCCCTGGACTAAGGATCACACCCTGAGCTGAAGACAGATGCTCCACTGCTGAGCCACCTAGTCGTCCCCCTGCCTTTTTTTTTTTTTTTTTTTTAAGATTTATGAGTTAGCTCTTTAACAAGCATAAGGACATCCAGAAAGTTCAAAGAAGTCTGTTTCTTGAAGGAAAAAGATTATTGTCATTTTGGGGTTTTGTGCTATTATTTTGAGCTCTCTCCATAAAATCATCTGATAGAAGTAAGAATGTGAGTGAGTGTTCATGAAGTGCTCAAACAGAAAGTGAGATTCCTCCCTTCCTTTACTAGTGAGATATACAAATAATCCCATTAGGGACCCTTATCAGGCAAGAAGTCATAACTATCTTGAGTGATTTTTGAATATAACCTATTAAATGTTTGCTTTAGGAAGCGAAGAAGGAATACAGCCTACTTAAGAGTCAGTCTGAGCAACAGGCCAGAGAGGTCTGCCACCTGGAGGAAGAACTGAGGAAGGCCAAACAGAGTTTGAGTCAGAGCCAGAATTTTGCAGAAGAAATGAGGGGTAAGTAAATAGTGTTTGGAGTTATTTTTCTAAGTTGATGTCCCATGAGGGCAGATGGATGGCCTTAGAGATGTTTTTCAGTTTTCCTGTATATTCTCCCAGAAAGATGTCTGCAGTTGATGTGGAGAAAGTTTTCTTTCTTCCGCTTTTTAGTTTCAGAGTGATAGTTGGACATTTTTTTTTTAATTGGAACACACTGAGTCCCAAACTGCCTTTGGGACCAGAAGGGTAAATATTCTCCACACAAAAGTAAATTGTCGGTGCTATTACCCTAGATGGCCATTCTTTGTGTCTCAAGTGTGTTTGTTCGCTTTATCCAGACAGCTCATCTCCTTGCTTGTTATCATTTCCTGGGATGATGGAAAAACCCTGTATTAAATGCATGTTTTCCCAGCCCTTAATGACCATTGTTTTTTTGATGACTTCCTTGACTGAGTGATTTTATTTCCTTACTTTCCATACAGACACTGGATTATGCTGCTTGCACCACACAAGCCCACCATTTTACATTTTTTTGTGTGTACCAGATGTCTTTACTTACATTAATCTTCTCAGAGTATTTGCACCTCTAACACTTCTTTTAACCTGCCCTGTGGAATATGTGCCACACTTCTCTGTGACTCTTTTCTCTAAAATCCTGATCTTCCTAAGACGGCTTTCAGTTCTTCTACAAGCAGTGGGTAAAAATGTTAATCTTCAGCTTTCCTGAAAGAAAACTGTAAGAAAAGGAAAGGTAAGGGCGGTTTTTTTTTTTTTTTTTTTTTTGGTGTTGGTTACCAGTTTCTTGTGTGAGGTCCTCACATGTGAAGTGGAATGATAGTATGTGAAGACAGCACCACCAGGGCCGTCAACTTGAAGTAGGTAGACTGAGATTAACAGTTTAAAGCTAGGAATTGTTTTCCCTTTAGTGTAACAACTGAGTCTATCATACATGCTAGCGTTTGCATTTTCTCTTGAGATTCTCAACATTTATTCTTCCCCCAACCTACTTGAGGAACATTTCCCATTACTGTTGAATGAAAGCACTGCTGTTATTTCCAACCAGGAGAGGCCCGTGGGTAGACATGAGGCAGAAAACAAGGTGGCAGTGGAGTCTGGAAAATCTTCCTTTTGATTCTCTGATTCATAGACACATAGGCATTTAAGTGAGAGGCCGGGATGTGGGCGACATTGTTCCTTAATAGTACATATAGGCCTAGAGTTCCTCAGACACAGCATCATTTCCTCTTTTGTACTTAAGCCCAATCCTGGTGGATTTTTGGCTGAAATGGTAGAATGGTTGCTCACTTTTCTGGGAAATCAGAATTACTCTGTAGTGAAATAGAATATTTCCATCTCAATGCTGTTCTTCTCACAGTTTTCTTTCTCTGAATAAGTATTTCAGAAGGGGAAAAATACACATATCTGTAAACATATAAAAGAAAAAAGTTTCAAGTGCTTAGGAAAATAACTAACTCCTTGCTGTTCTATGCAGCAACACTTTATTAGCTACTTAGAAAGAAGATGAACAAATGTCTTACCATCCTTATAAGGACCATTTCCTCATTGTCTTTATGTAAACTGAGATGATTATTGGGTGATCTACTTTCCAGGAGGTACCCAGGCAATCATGCCTGATTCTTATAGGGCCTGAGAAGCTGTTAGTTTGTTTGGATTTTTTTTAAGAGTTAAGAATTCTTGTAGAATAAGTATTTGTTAAAACCATGATAAGTAAATTTTTTTTTTTTTTTTTTTTTTTTTTTTTTTTTTTTTGTAGCTAAGAACGCCTCTCAGGAAACCATGTTAAGAGATCTTCAAGACAAAATTAATCAGCAAGAGAATTCCTTGACTTTAGAAAAGCTAAAGTTTGCCTTGGCTGACCTGGAAAAGCAGCGAGATTGCTCTCAAGACCTTTTGAAGAAAAGGGAGCATCACATTGAACAACTGAATGATAAGTTAAGCAAACTAGAGAAAGAATCCGAAGCTTTACTGATTGCTTTGGAGTTAAAAAAGAAAGAATATGAAGAATTGAAAGAAGAGAAAACTCTCTTTGCTCATTGGAAAAGTGAAAACGAACAACTTCTACGTCAGCTAGAATCAGAAAAGGGGAGTTTGCAGAGTAAAGTCAATCACTTGGAAACTTGCCTCAAGACACAACAAATAAAAAGTCACGAATACAATGAGAAAGTAAGAACCCTGGAGATAGAAAGTGAAAATCTGAATGTTGAGATCAGAAACCTTCACAATGTGATAGACAGCAAGACTGTGGAGGTAGAGACACAGAAGCAAGCTTACGTAGATCTACAACAGAAAGCCGAGTTCTCCGATCAGAAACATAAGAAGGAGATGGAGAATATGTGCTTGAAGATTTCTGAGCTTACTGGGCAAGTCGAAGATCTAGAACACAAGCTTCAGTTACTGTCAAGTGAAGTAATTGACAAAGACCATCGTTACCAAGACTTACAAGCTGAGTATGAGAGTCTCCAGGATCTGCTAAAACCCAAAGATTCTTCTCTCGTGACAAATGAGGCTCATCGCAGAAGTCTCTTGGCTTTTGAACAGCCATCTGCAATGAATAATTCCTTTGCAAATATAATTGGAGAACAAGGAAGCATGCCTTCAGAAAGGAGCAAATGCCATCTAGAAGCAGACCAAAGTCCAAGAAGTTCAGCCGTCTTACAAAATCGAGTCACATCTCTTGAATTTTCATTAGAGTCTCAAAAGCAGATGAACTCTGATCTGCAAAAGCAGTGTCAAGAGTTGGTGCAAATTAGAGGAGAAATAGAAGAAAATCTCATTAAGGCAGAGCAGATGCATCAAAGCTTTGTGGCCGAAACAAGTCAACGCATTAGTAAGCTACAAGAAGACTCTTCCATTCATCAGAATGCTTTTGCTGAAACTTTAGTTGCCCTGAAGAACAAGGAAAGAGAGTTCCAGCTTTTGAATGAAAAATTAGAAACTGAGCAAGCAGAGATTCAGGAATTAAAAAAGAGTAACCATTTACTTCAAGAATCTCTAAAGGAGCTACAACTTTTGTCTGAAACCCTGAGCTCAGAGAAAAAGGAAATGAGTTCAACTATTTCTTTAAATAGGAAGGAAATTGAAGATCTGGCCCAAGAGAATGAGACCCTCAAGGAAATTAATGCAACCTTAAATCAAGAGAAGATTACCTTACTCCAAAAAAGTGAGAGTTTTTCAAACTGTATAGATGAAAGAGACAAAAGCATTTTAGAGTTATCCAATCAGTATAAGCAAGAAAAACTTATTTCACAACAAAGATGTGAAGAAACAGGACGTGCATTTGAGGATCTTAGTGAAAAGTATAAAGCAGCTCAAGAAAAGAACTCTGAGTTAGAATGCTTGTTAAATGAATGCACTAGGGCTTGTGAAAATAGGCAAAAGGAACTGGAACATTTAAAGGAAACATTTGCAAGGGAGCACCAAGCACTTGTAACAAAATTAGCATTAGCTGAGGAAACAAACCAGAATCTAGTTCTAGAATTGGGGGCAATGCAGCAAGATCTGAGATCGGAGATGGCAGATATCCATAACAATTCCAAGAGTGAGGTGGATGGTCTAAAACAAATCATGACCTTAAAGGAAGAACAAAGTAATATACAAAAAGAACTTAATTCCTTAATACAAGAGAAGGAGCACCTGATGATGTTAATGGAGACGAAACAAGAGCATCAAATTCTAGAATCAGAATCAGTTAGTGACTCTGTGAAAGGGGAGAGTGAGATAAATAAATGTCATGTTCAACTTCCGATGGATTTAGAAACTGGAAATTTGCAACAAGACGCTCAGTCGCAAGAACTTAGTAGCCCTAAAGATTGTGACGTAAGTACAGAAGAAAAATATATTTCAGTGCTCCATGAGTTGTCAACAAGTCAAAATGACAATGCACATCTGCAGTGCTCTCTACAGGCAGCAATGAGCAAGCTGAGTGAGCTAGAGAAGATGTGTGAGATGCTGCAGGTCGAAAAGCTTGAGCTAATGTCGGAGCTGAATGATTCAAGATCAGAATGTATCACGGCAACTAGTAAAATGACAGAGGTGATGGAGAAACTAGTAAATGAAGTTAAAATACTAAATGATGAAAGTGGCCTTCTCCAAGGTGAGTTAGAGAAAGAAATGGCAGAAGGTGAATCTGACGAACAACAGAATGAGCAGAAAGGTGCGTCCTTAAATCCTTTGGATGACCGTAATTGCTATGAGCACTTGACATTGTCAAACAAAGAAGTCCAAATGCACTTTGCTGAATTACAGGAGAAATTCTTGTCTTTACAAAGTGAACACAAAATTTTACATGATCAGCATTGTCAAGTGAGCTCTAAGATGTCAGAGCTACAGTCTTACGTGGATGCATTAAAGGCTGAAAATTCCATGTTGTCAACAAGTCTGAGAAACTTCCAAGGTGACTTGGTAAAGGAGGAGATGCCAGAACCTCAGGCAGGGCATTTTCTGTCCTTGTCATTCTCTTGTGTGACTGACAGCCCTAGTCTTACAAGTTTGGGAGAATCTTCTTTTTGCAAAGACCTCTTGGACCAGACGGGGGAAACCTCGCTTTTGAATAATTTAGATGGGACTATTGCAGCAAACCAGTCTAATATAGAAGAAGGGTCTTGCTGTAGTCCGGAGGAAGAGAGTCTGACCAAGAGAGAAATTCTATCTGCGCCAGGGAGGAGCGTGGAAGACCTTGAGACCCAATGTCAGATGTACCTGCAATCCCTCAAAAAACTAGAAGACAAAATCGAAAGTCAGGAGATTCTGAAAAATAAGGAGATTAAAGAGCTCGAACAGTTATTAAGTTCTGAAAGGGAAGAGCTCGACTCTCTCCGAAAGCAGTATTTGTCAGAAAATGAACGGTGGCAACAGAAGCTGACAAGTGTGACCATGGAGATGGAGTCCAAGCTGGCAGCAGAAAAGAAACAGACTGAACACCTGTCATTTGAGCTCGAAGTAGCACGCCTCCAGCTACAAGGTCTGGACTTAAGTTCTCGGTCTTTGCTTGGCACTGACCTAGAAGATGTAAGTATATGGGATTTACATGCTGTTTCTCTAGTTACATTCCCGGGAGGCACTTGATAAATGTTTGAGTTGAAATCTACATTAAATCAGACTTAAAATATTTTTAGAATTCAAAGGTATAAAAACAAAATACACCAAAGTTTTTTGTTGCTGTTGTTTTCTAAACAAAGCACAACTTTAGAAAAATGAGTAAACCTGATTCAGATTGGGGGGGGAGGTTGTAAATTTCTTTAATGATTCCACTCATATTTATTATATGGGAAATTACTAAAAGGTGTTTTTTAAAGTGTCCTGGAGAAGATTATAGAGTCTGAAAGTCATTTTCAGGACCTGTATTTGTTTTCACTCTTTGTGAATTAAAAAACTCCACAGTTAAGTATTAAATTAGACCTTATGGATGACAATGTGATCAAATTTTAAGTATCCTTGCTCTTTTCAGACCATTTTAATATTACAGAGTTAAAGTCATGAAACTAAATGGAGGAGTTTATTACATATTACTGAATAATTTTCTTACCAATTTGCTCTGATACAAATCTATGATTTGTTACCAGTCATTTAAAGAGACATCTCTTTCTTTATGGACTATAAAATTGTTGAGTCATAACTTTGTCCTTTCTAGTCTACCAGCTAAAGTAGTAGTGCTGTATAGTCGATGACTTCACTTGATTCCCTCTGTCTGCCTCAGTAAGGTAGGCGGGTTAGGTGGTGACTGGACAGTCATTGTAGTCACAGCAGTAGATCCCCATTTTACAGATGAGAAGAAGGTGAGGTCCAGATGTGTAATTTATCCAAGGATATAGATAGTGCTGGTTCTGTGATTAAGTCCTTGGCCTGGGGATCTGGTCATGAAACCTTCTCTGAGTGAAGAATATCGTAAATGCTGAAGATGGAATCTGAACATTTTATGTGGACTTTCTTAGCTTCTTACTTGATAATCCCTTAAATAAACTTTATATTTAGGCTACCAAGAATATTTCTAGCAAGAAAAAATTATGCAATTTAAATATGTTACAATTCAGATGATCAAATAACTGATCTGAAGGGTTTGTCTTCATAATAAATACCCAGTGCCTTGCCTGTGGAGAACACTTACCGAACGTTTATTTACTTGTGTTGGATATTTGGATGGAGAGAGGAGACGGGGTGGGAAATAAGCCATTTAAAGAGATGTGTTTAGCAGAGGCAAGAAGCCAGTTACTATACAGTAATAATTAAGCCTACTTACTCTGTTTTGATTACTTTTGAAAAATAAAATGAATTCTCATATATTACAACTACAGGCTCTTCAGGGTGGAAACACTAGCTGTGATGTAAAAGAATCAGAAGAATATACTTTGGAAACTAATGAGAGAACACCAAAGCGTGACATTCATCAGATCTGTGAAGAAGGTGTTCAGCAGGACCTCAATCTAGAGATGGAAAAAATAACCAAGACCAGTCCAGTCAGATTCACAGGAGAATGGTCTAGCAAAAAGTCTCCAGAAACCAGTTACGAGACCCTAGCGCAAGACAAAACACAGGGCTGTTTAGACATTTCTGAATTGTCACTTTCTGGTCCTAATGCTCTAGTACCTATTGATTTTCTGGAGACTCAAGTCACCATTGAGAATCTTCAATTGCAGGTGAAAGAGTCATCAAATGAGAATTTGAGGTTACTCCATGTCATAGAGGAACGTGACAAAAAAATTGAAAGTTTACTAGATGAAATAAGAGAGTTGGACTCAAAACTGGGTTTACAGGAAGCACAAATAACCACCAAAATGGAAGCATGTGTAGAATTAGAAAAAATAGTTGAGGAACTCAAGAAAGAAAAATCAAATTTAAGTGAAAGATTGGAATCCTCTTCTTGTGACAACCAGGAGTTACACCAGAGAACAGAAAGTTTGGAGGGCCTCAATTCTCATTTAGAAATAGGTGCAGATAAATTGTCACATGCAGTTATTGAAGATAATGTGGCCAACGTGAATGACAACTGGAGAGAGCGGTTTCTTGATGTGGAAAATGAGCTAAAGAGGATCAAATCTGAGAAAGGTAGCATCGAGCATCATGCCCTCTCTGTGGAAGCGGAGTTAGAGACAGTTCAGACCGAGAAGCTGTACTTAGTGAAAGATAATGAAAATAAGCAGAAAGCTATAACTTGCCTTGAAGAAGAGCTCTCTGTGGTCACCAGTGAGAGAAACCAGCTTCATGGACAATTAGATACTTTGTCAAAAGAAAAGAAAGAACTGGATCTGATGTCTGAAAAGATGAAGCAGAAAATACAAGAGCTCGAATCTCGTGAAGATGAATGTCTACATCCCAGTGACATGGCTGGAGCTGAGGTAAAGGACAAAATGCAGCTCGTTCAGAGATTGTCCTCTGATGTAACCCAGCTCTTGGAAGATAACACACGGCTCCAGGAGCAGCTACAGAGTTTGGAAAAGGACTCACAGGCCCTGTCTTTGGTAAAAAGTGAGTTGGAGATCCAAATTGAACAGTTGAATAAAGAGAAAGAATCACTTTCAAGGGAATCTGAAAGCCTACAGGCCAGACTGCATGAGTCAGAACACGAGAAGCTGACCGTCACCAAGGCTTTGGAGGGCGCGCTGATGGAGAAGGGTGAGGTGGCAGTGAGGCTGAGCTCCACTCAGGAGGAAGTGCATCAGCTAAGAAAAGGCATTGAGAAGCTGAGGATCCGCATTGAGGCTGATGAAAAGAAGCAGCTCCACGTTTTAGAGAAACTGAGGGAGAGCGAGCGAAAGGCGGATGCGCTTCAGGATAAAATTGAGAACCTTGAACGAGAACTGCAGATGTCAGAGGAGAACCAAGAGCTGGTGATTCTTGATGCTGAGAATTCCAAAGCAGAGGTGGAGACCCTAAAAACACAAATGGAATTGACTACCAAAAGCCTGAAAGATTTAGAATCCGACCTTGTCACGGTAAGGTTCGAAAAAGAAAATCTGATAAAACAGCTACAAGACAAACAAGGTCAAGTGTCTGAATTAGATACATTGCTCTCTTCATTCAAAGGTCAGTTAGAAGAAAAGGAGAGAGAAAAAATAGAGATGAAAGAAGAATCTAGAGCTGCCTTGGAGATGCTCCAAACACAGTTGAAAGAGTTAAATGAGGAAATAGCAGCATTGTGTCATGACCAAGAAATCCAGAAGGTCAAGGAACAGAGTCTGGACCCCTTGGTGCAGGAAATACATCAGCTGAGAAACAACACTGAAAAGCTGAAAGCCCGCCTAGAAGCTGATGAAAAGGAGCAGCTCCGGGTCTTAGGAAAACTGAAGGAAACTGAACATCAGGCCAACTTGCTTAAGGATAGAGTGGAGAGCCTTGAAAGAGAACTAGAGATATCAGGGAAAAACCAAGAGTGCGTGGTTCTTGAGGCCGAGAATTCCAAAGCAGAAGTAGGGACTCTAAAAGTAAAAATAGAAGAGATGGCCCAAAATCTTAGAGATTTGGAATTAGATCTTGTCCACGTAAGGTCAGAAAAAGAGAATGTGATAAAAGAATTACAAAAAGAGCAAGAACGGGTATCTGAGTTAGAAATGTTAAATTCTTCCTTTGAAAATCTCTTGCAAGAAAAAGAGCAAGAAAAAGTACAGATGAGTGAAGAATCTAAAACTGCAGTGGGGATGCTTCAGACACAATTAAAGGAGCTAAATGAGGAAATGGCAGCCTTGTGTCATGACCAAGACACCTGGAAGGCCCAGGAACAGAATCTGCGTAGTCAGGTGGATGCTCTTGAACACGAGAAGGCTCAGTTGCTACAAGGCCTTGATGAGGCCAAGAATAATTACATTAACGTGCAGTCTTCCGCAAACAGCCTCCATCAACAAGTAGAAGATGACAAACAGAAGCTAAAGAAGAAGGATGAAGAAATCAGCATGCTGAGGAGTCAAATTCACGACCGAGAGCAGCTTGCCTCCAAACTGTCCCAGGTGGAAGGAGAGCAGCAACTTTGGAAGAAGCAAAAAGTAGAACTGGAAAATCAGATGGTGGAATTGGAGCAGAAGATCCAAGTGCTGCAATCCAAAAATGACACGTTGCAGGCCACCTTGGAAGCACTGCAGAAATCCCACAAGGACCTGGAGAAAGAGCTCGAATTGACAAAAATGGAAAACGTATCCTTCATTGAAAAAGTAAGTGGCTTACTCTCTGCACTTGAATAGGTAGTCTTTAGGGAGGGAAACCCCTGTGTCAATTTTATTTGCTTCTGGATGGTGTTTGCAGTATGGGACCAAACCCTGTAAAGGTTTTAGGTTTGTGGGGCCTTGAACTTTGTGGACATTTGAGTTGGCTCCAACACCAGTGACTCTTGGCTTTGGCACACATGAGACACTTCAGTGGATTAGCCCGAGTTTTTGGTATGGCATCTGATCGCGGGAGAAGCTTTGGGTTAGGCATAGTTCTTGGTTCTAATTATAGTTCTCTTTCTTATAGTACATTAGAGTAGCAGCTTCCCAATACCCAGTTGGGAGCTGCTGCCAAGGAGACTATAACAGATACGAGTGAGGATCAGGAGGGGACCCCACTGCCCCTGCCCTGCCTTTTTGCCTTTAGGAGAAAGTACTTTCAAAGGTCCTGATATAATAGTGACCAAGAGAACCCTCATGCCTCCCAGGGTATGTCTTGGGGATTTTCTGCTTTCAGCCCATTTTATACCTTCTCTTTGTGCAACCTTGTTTTATTAGCTGGAGGTTAAAGGGAAAACCTGCCATCAAGGGGCTCGGTTATTAATGAGAAGTTAAGATTTTGCTTTCCAGGCCTACATATTGATCTCGGGAAAGGATTGCTTCGAATTCAGTTTTTACTGGACAAATACTAAAAAAAAGAACGTCCAGAAAATGGGATCAATCATGCTCTGTAATATTTTCCAGGAATTTCAAGTTTTGACACAGCTTGCAAGAGATGGCAGGTAGGATAGAGATAACTTGCAACTTCTGGCAAGCTCTTTCAATGTCAGGGGCAAATGCAAACGATAGGGCTTTAGCTGGTTTTAACTAATCCTAGGCATGTTTCTTGCAGATTAGCATGGCATCAGAGGATTAGTAGAGATCCCAGAATTGATAAAAAATATAAGACGCCACCTCAGACAATAGTCTATGGTGTTTATATTTAATATAAATTAATACCTTTATGAAAGTTCCTAAGACTTAGTAATACTATCGTTCCTTGTCATTGCTTTCCTCATTGCTGTCTTTTATTAAATCGTGGCTGTGAAGAAAAGGTGAGCTTGCCGGTAGGTTTTGAGGATGGTAGTTGAGTAGATGAGTACAGGGAGGATTAGCCCGGTCCCACCTTATGACTGAAGGTGAAAGGGAAGTGGAGTGGGCTGTATCGAAGTGATTAATTTGCACAAAACAGGCGACCCAAGGCAGATCCTAATGAAAGATGAAATTTCAGGTAAACACGATGACCGGGAAGGAGACTGAGCTACAGAGGGAAATGCACGAGATGGCACAGAAGACATCGGAGCTGAAAGAAGAATTTACTGGAGAGAAAAATAGGCTAACTGAAGAATTAAATACAATGTCGGAGGAAATAAATAGCAGCAGGGTAAGTTCCTGAACTGAGAGGCGCTCATGATCCCCTGATGATGCAGTGTGCACACTCCCTGTTTGTTCTCGTCAGACCTAGAACGTGCCAAACTTCTTTTGAGCTTTTGAAAAAAGTAGCCCCGCACTTAGGGCGTGATGAGACTTGCACCCATCTTCACCCTCCAGCCCTGTTGGGAGCCCAGAAGCAGCCCTGAGAGAATTCCTATCATGGAGCCCAAATAGTTTTTTCATAACAGGCGAGTCTGGTACTACAGTACCTCGCATCGGAGATGGATTTTGTGCAGTTTCCAACAGGTTTATCTGCTTTTCTAGCCTGCCTCGGATTAGGAGCCAGAACGCTGCCAGAGACAGATGCCCTGATCTCGCTAAGAACTGGAAAGTAACGGGAAGTCACAGAGAAATGTAAAATTGGAGCAGTCTTGGGATGTTATTTTAGGATAGGGTTCATGTGGCCGATCTACAGCATCTGGGCCGCCACCCCCCACTGCTGTTTCCAGAGCAGACATTGCTGATTCATGCCCTCCGTTCCTCCTGAATCTCTTCACGCTGAGTCCCGCATAGCAGCTACCATGCACACAGGGCTGGCAGGTGCAGTGAAACCTGTTTGCCAAGCCTAGTTAAGCAGTGAACACTCGTATATCCCTGACATCCTTGTGCACGTTCATCCCCGGGTAGCACTTAGGAAAGGGTAACGAGACGGAGTTGTGATGGTGACCCCGAACAATCACGAAAGGTTGAAATGCTATTTGTAATAGCCTGTGTAAGGAGTTAGGGAAATCTGTACTTTAAATGCGGTATTTAATCTTAGGAAAATCGAAAACGTTTGGCATCTAATCTTGGCAGTTGACTTGAGGAATTTTCTGGCAACGCCGCATGGGGAAGGAGTTTGTACGAATGGTATTTGAGTCCTGCACCTGCTGGAGTTTCCTTTGGTACCGAGTAGCTTGGGAGTATCCCAACTCTACTGTTACTTGAATCTGGTTTATAGGCTCTACTAAAAGGAAACGCTAGGTGTTTGGCCTCAAGTCCATAGAGCTGTGTTGTAGTTCCTGTAGTCATAGAGCTTGCAGTCTAGACACACAGTAAATCATTAAATAGGAGATGTATAAGATGATCATAATCTATCAAGTGCTATAAATGAATCAGACCAGATTCTTAACTGCAGACTAATTGGGAAGTAGGGTGTGTAGGGGTGGAGACCAACCTAATTTAGGTAGGGAGGTCAGAGAATGTCACACGCAGGATGAGCAGTCAGCCATGCAAGGAACAGCGCAGAGAAAGGAAGCTTCTAGGTCTAGAGAGCAGTGTGGCAATATCTCTGAGATTTGAAAAATCTTAGTTTTTAAAATATTTTTTATTTTTTTGAAGTTGAAAGGAAGCCATGGTGAGAAAGAAAATGACATGAGAAAAGATTGGAGAGGAAGGAGGGTCATGGTAAAATCTAAAGGAATGCCAAAATACATGAGGCTGGCGTTTAAAGGGAAGACTTAGGGTGGCTGGTTTGGAATATAGGTAGTAGTTAGAAATGAGGGGAATGGTCGAAAATACAGTTGGAGAAGAGAAGGTAGTTCGGTGCAGAGACCTCAGCATGCAAGGTAAGATGGAGGGGGGAGGAGCCAGCAAAGAGAACGAGAAGGCGTGAGTGGCTAGCCAGCAGTGTTGCATCCTCTGAGCCAGGAGTCGAGGCTGTCTCAGGGAAGGAGCAGTGGTCAGCAGCCTCACATACCAGTCAGAGCTTGGACAGCGTGAAGGGTGCTCCTTGGATTTGCAACGTGGAGGTTGCTGAGGCCGTGGAAAACTATCTGAAGAGGATGTGGGCTAAAGCCAGGTTGGAGGGGTTGAGTCAGCGGAGATGAGGAAGTGGACACAGTGTGTGTAGAAACACATGTACAAACCATCCTTTGGGACCAGGCCCGGAGAACACAGGTGCCTCCGGCACTGGTTTTACCTCGGTCGCACAGTGAAGAGCAAGAGAGTGGCAAAAGAGGTGAGGGCATTTGGAGGAAAACTCTCACGGTGATAGAACATGGAACCAAAACTGGTCAAGGAAGAAAACATAAGTCTGGAGGGGCTTGAGTTTGAAGGTGGGGGGTAGGAGTGCTGTGGACGAGGTCAAGGAATTACTGCAGTGCAGGCACTTTAATAAGTGAGCCTGGAAGCCTACGAGGGTATGATCCAGAGCAGTTTGGCTAAAGATTTCTCGGAGTATGTGGTCCCAGTGGATGTGACCTTGGGGGTGATTTGGCTGGTGCAGAAGAAATTGTCATTGGAGGTGAAGTCACAGTTTCAAGTGAGTGCATCACTAAGGGTTATAGCACTATTCTAGATAGGATTTTGTCTTATCTGTAATTCTTTTTTCTTCTTTTTCTCATTTCAGTACTCAGTATTTCCTAAAGCTATATATCCGGGTTCCTAATTATTTTCCCATAATTGTTTTACCTTTCTCATTAGGGTCAATTGAAGGAGCTCATGCTAGAAAATAGCGAGTTGAAGAATAGTTTGGATTGCATACACAAGGACCAGCTGGAAAAGGAAGAGAAAGTTCGAGAAGAAATAGCTAACTATCAGCTACAACTTCAGGAAGCTGAAAAGAAACACCAGGCTTTGCTTCTGGATACAAACAAACAGGTAAAAACATGGGGTTTGGTTCCTGGAGGAGCCAGAAAGTGGTGTGTTGACCTAATGAGGCAGTTTTTGTAAGAAGGTCAACATTCTACATTATTACACAATACAATAATTCTGAAGGGTCCCATCTTATTACCTGCCCTGTCTTTGCCAGTTACCACACAGGTCTTATTTTATGATGTGAGCTTTTAAAATATTATTTCCATCTGGGAAGGGAATAATAGCGGAATCCTGAAGACTATTTGAAATGGTCCTTGGGACAGCAGTTTATTTTCTTGTTTGTTTTCCTTGCAATTTTTTTAGTTGAGCTTCCTGGCTAAGGTAATGTTTTTCTACCCTAGTACGAAATGGAAATCCAGACATACCAAGAGAAACTGTCTTCTAAAGAAGAATGTCTCAGCTCACAGAAGGCAGAGATTGATCTCTTAAAGTCCAGTAAAGAAGAACTCAATAATTCTTTGAAAGCTACCACTCAGCTTTTAGAAGAATTGAAGAAAACCAAGGTATGTTCATTTTTCATTACTTCATAACTTAGAATGATTCATACAGGTAATGGTGGTTTTTTCATGTGGACTTAATGCTTTCATTTAAATTGTTATGTAGATTTTTTTTCGGGGTAGTCACAAATAAAAGCAACAGTTCTCTGCTGAGTTATTTTTAAAAATCAGTGGATGATCTGCGTTCTCACAGCTAGGATAAACCTTATGCATTGCTCAGTGAATCTTCTCAAATTAGACGATGGTAAAAGACTTTTTTGAGAGGGACATGAAGATCAAAGTGATAGCAGATTAAGGCAGGCCTCTCCAGCTGTAGATAATGATTTTGTGGGTAATTCCAAAGTCTTGCTTGATTGGTCTCCAGGTTCACTGCCAAACCCACTTTTCCCATGGGTCATGGAGAGGTCAAGATGTGCCAGAGCACTTGGTCGTGTACATTCTCCTTTCTCTCCATCTTTCTCTCCATGCAAGATTCATAAACATTTTCTTTTCCAAAAAAAAAAAAAAAGAGGTGAACAGTAGTCTTAGGATTGTTCAATTAAAGGTGATGCTGTAGTAATTCTACTTCTTAGAAGGGGAGGCTTTTTGATCCCTACAGATATTTTTCATAAGATGAATACCATCCTGGTTGTATAATAATGAACCTGGAGGATAAATATCTACAAAGGTCTTTACTTAAAGGTGGTTTAAACTGTAAACGTTATGATGCCATTTATCCGATACATTCAAACAGAAAAGTAGGGGTAAACTTCTTTTGTCTGTAGCTTTTAAATCTCAAGATGAAGGAAATATACTGATAAATACAAACTAAGGAAGGTCAAAATAACATTCATGATCAATAATGTTCTGCTGCTACAAAATGAGACACACTACGTTTAATAACAGAAAGGAGAGCTCTAGGTCTACTTTTTTACTCACTTTTTGCCTTTTAAAAAAATTGATGTAAAATTGGTATATGATGATATTTTAGTTTTAGGTGTGCTTTCTGCTTGTCTGATCTTTGACAATTCTACCGTGGAGAATGTCTGTATGTATATATGTGTGTGTGTGTGTGTGTGTGTGTGTGTGTGTGTGTGTAGTGTACAAAACAGCTCATTGTTAGTTGAGCCTATTCAGATTGCATATAATTTTAATGAGGTCCAGTTAATAAACACTGTTGAAATGGAATTAAATGGATCTCTAATCCAATTATGGTTGGAGTCAGAAATAAAAATTCTGAAAGTGTAGATTTACCACAACACTGCTAATAGTATTTCAAGATGAAATTATGTACAAGGAATGAAATCTTCTTGCAACATGAATGTGATGCTCAGGTTCTTTTTTCCTTTTTTTCTTTTTTTTTAATATTTTGGTCTGCCTTTGTATGTTCATGATCTCTTATTGGAAACTCTTGGAGCTAGCTTATTTTAGAAGTCTGCATTTTTTAGATATTGCATAATAAAATGCATGTGCCATATATTACATAATATCCCAGCAAGGTATGGGGTAATACTTCATAATCAAATTCATATTTCTGCAACAAAATGTATGACTATCCTCACAAGGCGGAATAAATTAGGACTATATATAAATACCTCTGTATCTGTTCAGGTCAGGTTTTTCCTCTAAATCATCGTCTGAGCTGTTTTTGGAATTTGCAGATGTGGGTAAGGAATCGTTAACTTGTATTCCTGAGAAGTGTATGATGCTATCATTCTCCCACCATTCTATCCACTTTCTATTTGAGCAACTGCAGAATTGAAGTTTGTATTGTAAGCCACAATATTATTTGGCCTTCACTTGGTGTCACCAAAACAAATGCCATCTTGGGTATTGAAATTATGCAACAGCACAGACTATAAATGGAAACACAATTCTATCATCGAGAAGGTTTTTTTTTTTTTTTTCCTTAAGATTTACTTATTTATTTAAGAGAGAGAGTGAGCATGCAGAGGGGAGGGGCAGAGGGAGACAGTTTCCAGCAGACTCTGCATTGAGTAGGGAGCTCACCTTAAGACTCCCATCTTACGACCCGGAAATCAGGACCCAAGCAGAAACCACGAGTCTGATGCTCAACTGACTGCACCACCCCAGCGTCCCTATAATCGAGAAGTTTTGACCCACCAAGAATATGCCCATGTATCTCCCGCCCTAACTCCCCAAGTGTGATTCCCATTGGACAAACCCAGACATGGTGGGCTCCTTAACAGAACACTATCTTAGGAACCAAGATTTATGCTTGCCGAGATTCAGAAAGTGACAAAACCACAGTGTCTGCTGGGGAGACATAGGAAATCAAGTAGAGAAGATGAATTGTTTTATTTTGAATGTCATAATTCTTAAATTTATAATATATGATTCTTAATGACATCTCATGGTTATTTTCCCACATGCTCATATAAAGAAATTAAGGGTCTTAAATTCAGGGTTTTGTCTTGTAGGCAGACCACGTAAAATATACCAATCAGTTGAAGAAGGAAAATGAACGTGCCCAAGGGAAAATAAAACTGTTGATCAAATCTTGTAAACAGCTGGGAGAGGAAAAGGAGATGTTGCAGAAAGAGCTGTCTCACCTTGAAGCTACACAGGAGAACCAGAAAACAGGTAGGACTAACTGGGCACAGCCATGAGCCAAAGCTCTTTTCCACTAGTGAAGTCATACACAAATGGTGTGGAGGCCCAGAAACATTTTTAGTGCTCTGTTCTGCTACTGTGTGTTGATTTCCAGCGGTTCTCCATTTTCCAGTTTTAAATTTTATGCTCTGCTTGGGGTCATAGGATTAATAGGATTCAGAATGAGGTCTGCATTTTGAAAATAGAATTATTGCATCTTCTGTTCTATAAAACATACAAAAAACTGGCAGCACTTTTTGCTAATGAGCTATTCCAAGAAGAGTTTTTCGTGTGGATGTCCACTTACATAGTTCCTACGTCAAAGGCAGATTGACATTCTGAGCTGGCATTGGTAATTTATCAGCAACTGATTCTGGTTGTCCTTGGCCCATCCTCGTGGGTCAACTAAATGGAAGGCTTAGGGGCCGTATGTTTGGATATGGAGGTAAAATAAAAAAGAAATAGCATCTGTCCTTCACACTTTTTTCCACTTACATCTTTGGAATAGAATGCTCTTACTGTGTGGAAAGCTGATGGCAAGTATAGGATGAGGGGCTCTTCTGGATCACAGCTTCACACTGTGGGGCAGGGATCTTCCCTGCTGAGAAGAGTACTTGGAGTATTTTGTGGATCAAGGGAGTTTTTCCAGTAGATTCATTGCCAAACATGGCAGTGACAAGTTGACCAAGACTCCCACCTTTGAAGCATCCCCCAAGGACTTGTCCATCAGCTCTTGCATTGCTTAAAAATGGTTTTCAGAGCTGTTTTTGACTTGTGATTAGCCCTCTTCCGTTTCCCAAAGCTATTCCAATAGACTTCATGTTCTTTACCAAATTTTATTGTTCATTCACTTACAATGGAAAGAATGGACTGGGAAACTGGGGATGTGATCAATTAATTCATCCGATCTCATATGAACTGCAAGGAAGTTTGATGGGTTAGCTGGAATATAATTTGAGATTTTGATGGATTTTATTTAAGCGTTCTTAATGAAAGTCATGTAATCTACTAGGGTATGTGCCTTGATAGGATCCCTCCCAAACAGGAGTTGTTTATATCTCCCTCACGTGTCTAAGAGAAAATCAAAGAACAAATCTTCTTTTTTTTTTTTGTAATATTTTAATGTATTTATTCATGAGAGACACAGAGAAAGAGAGAGAGGCAGAGACACAGGCAAAGGGAAAAGCAGGCTCCAAGCAGGGAACCCCATGTGGGACTCAATCCCGGGTCTCCAGCATCACGCCCTGGGCTGAAGGTGGCGCTAAACTGCTGAGCCACCCAGGCTGCCCTCAAAGAAAAAAACTAAGGTTTTCTGCTTTACAATGCCTGGTGTTAGAGAAGTGTCAAGTGACATACAGTGTGCCACTCTATTCTTGACAGGTACTGTTGTGGATTCTAATGCAGAGGAATTAATGGCTGAGATGAAAGAACTGAAAGAAACTCTGGAGGAAAAAACCAAGGAGGCAGATGAATACCTGGACAAGTACTGTTCCCTGCTTATAAGCCATGAGAAATTAGAGAAAGCTAAAGAAATGTTGGAGACACAGGTTGCTCGTTTGAGTTCACGGTCTAAACCTCACCTCCAGAATTCTCCTTTACTAAATTCAGTGGTTCCAGAAGCATCTCTAGCCCCTTCTGCTACTGAAAAGAAGTTATCATCCGGCCAAAATACAGCTTCAGGCAAAAGACAAAGGTCCACTGGAATTCGGGAAGATGGGGGAGGCACAGCGTCTTCTACTCCAGAGACATTTTCTAAAAAGAGTAGGAAAGCAGTCAAAAGTGATATTCACCCTGCAGAGGAGGCCAAAGACACTGAGTTTGAGCCAGAGGGACTTCCAGAAGTTGTAAAGAAAGGTATGCATCATTTAAAAGCAGAATTATTTGTGTTCTTTTGAAATTCCCTATAAAAAGCCACATACAAAGAGACGGGAGCATTTATGTTTTAGGCGATTGTGCAACAGTACTAAGTGAGTCCTAAGTCTAAGTCAACCTTTAAATTGGTATTTCTATTTAGCTTTCTGCATGAGAAAAGGAAAAGGATCTTGTTACTCATGTTACAGCACAAAACGTGCTAGGATATTTCAAGACCTGTTTGGAATATGATGTTTCTGTGCTGAAAAATCCCCAGATCAAGGGCACTCTTTAAGCTTTTTCACCTTTAGTCCAAATCTCACTGGGGTAGGAGGTGAGCTAGGGGATGGGTCCCCTTGGCTGGAGCCACTTACCACTTTTTGTTTTTTTAATTTGATTCCAGTGATCCTTAGAGTGTGGCCCAGGGACTGGGGCTGGTCTAGGTACAGTTTATTACTGGTCTGTGACAAAAAAAAAAAAAAAAAAAAAAAAGTCATGTTCAGAAATCAAGAGTAAAGGTTGAGAAATTTTCATAGTAATTTGACATTGTAGCAACATGCAAGCACATCCTGAGTCTTCTTTTGGTTCATTCCTGTTGTGTTATACAGAAGTATCACTCCACAGCCGGTTGGAACTCACCCCTTACCCCTCCCCCTTTTGCTCAAAAAAATATCAACACTTATTCTTTGCTATAGATGATTTGAGGAGCCCTGTTCTGAGTAACTCTGGCCCTTAGAAACCCCCAAATAGTTATCTCTTTCTCGTTGCTTTATTTATAATAAAGTATATTTATTACTTTATTTATAATTAAAGGGTTAATCACAAAAACAAGTGCTACTTTAGTTAGCCACCAATGCGACTCTAGAGGGTGTGTGACATGCCCTCTGTTAGCATCATTGGGATTGACTCTTTCCTCTTACGCACATCATGTTCATTTCCACTGTGGAGGGAGACTGTGTGAGCAGAAGGTGAAATTTCTCTTTTATGGGGTCGGCTGTCTGCCCCCACCTTGTCTCTGCCTGAGAGTGCTCACCTGAGTGGCAAAGGCTGTTAACTGTTTTACCTTTTCTTGTTTTAAATGAGAGCTGGCCTTTTTGTGTGTGTGTTTTCCCTTCCCATTTGATCCTCTGTTTTATTTAGCTCCCATCCAAATTTGATGCAAAATCTTGCTGGTATGTTCTTCAGATCTTAGAAAAATGAGAATTAAGACATCCACGTAGAAGAAGAAGTAGGGGAAAAAAATTCTGTTTAATGTTATTTTCCTGTCTTTTGCCATTGTGTTTTCTCATGTGTCTGGTAAGAGAAAACCCACTGGTTAGTTGTTTGATTTGTCAACTGTGAAGTTAATCCCTCGTCTGCTGTGGCTAGCAGAAAATGTTCCTGGAGTTGCTCTCATATTTGTGGAAACTTTACCTGCTACATCTTATTTCCACTGTGGATAAAATCGGACCTAGCAATGTTGACAGTGAGTGTTTTTTTGCCCCGAGGGTTTGCTGATATCCCAACAGGAAAGACAAGCCCATATGTCCTGCGGAGAACAACCATGCCGACTCGGACCAGCCCCCGCCTGGCTGCACAGAAGTTAGCACAGTCCCCCCTAAATCTCAACAAAGAAAATCATGCTGAGACCTCCCAACCAACAGCTGGTGGCAGCAGATCACAGAAGGTAACTCCTATCAACCTGTACTCGCCGTTCCAAATCCAGGAAATGACAGTGCTACCTGGGCAAGGGTTTGACACTGCGCCCTTCTCCATGCAGCATAAGTGAGCCAGTCCCGAGGACAGTAGTGAGCAGACCTGAGGATAAACTTTACCCTGCAGCAACAATCTCCTCCTTGATCCAATAGGCCACGTAGGATTTGATGGAAATGTTAAAAGAGGAGAAATTGTAGATCAGAACTCAAAGGGTTTGTAAGCACGTTTTAAGCAGTATGTTGAAGGAGCTGAAGAGGTCGTCTTTCTTCTGACCACAGGCCTTGCTCACTGCATTGCTTGTTCCACGCTTTTCCCTCTAACCTGTTGCCCTCTCTCCACTGCCCCCCAACAGCTGCTAATTCTTTTTTTTTCCTTCTTTCTTTCTTTTTTACTCCTTTACTTTACAGAAAGCAAATATTTCTGTACAGATCCAAAGAAAGGAGCTCTGTTGACACATTTCTCTGTCTTGATTGTTGATGGCAGGGCTACCATCTCAGTGACCTCTATGCACCATGCAAATGGCTCAGCAAATGTTATTTAAAGCATACAGAGGGATCCCTGGGTGGCACAGCGGTTTAGCGCCTGCCTTTGGCCCAGGGCGCGATCCTGGAGGCCCGGGATCGAGTCCCGCGTCGGGCTCCCGGTGCATGGAGCCTGCTTCTCCCTCTGCCTGTGTCTCTGCCTCTCTCTCTCTCTCTCCCTCTGTGTGACTACCATAAATAAATAAAAATTAAAAAAAAAATCATACAGAATGTTTGCTTTGCAGATCTTTGTTCCATTATACTATGAGGCATATGAGCGTTATGTATGCGAAGTATATGCCTACCCTCGTGGTAGGTAGTATTAGAGAAGAAAGAAGAAAGTAAGGTTTATAGGGATCTAATCTGCCCAGAGTTAACACTTACTGTCTCTCACCTCCACTCTTCTGTCCAGTGTTTCTCAAAGGGTCACAGGAACATTGTTGGAAGTTACTGGAATAAGTTTAAGAATTCTAAAAGTTTTGTGATTTTTATTTTGATTGCTTACTTGTTAGAGTTTGCGTAACAATGCAATGTGAGTGGCTTGACCCAGCAGACAAAGCTTTGAAAGTGTAGCAACCACTATTTGTGTAACGTAATAATTCTTTAAGCAAGTGGGTGTGGTCCTCATTAGGAGTTTAGATGCCGAAATACAAAGACATTGGTGAGTAGCTGCATCAAAACAAGAATATATCTATAAATGTTTGTGATATTGTTGTCTGAGAGCTGTAAGCATTAAGGAATGTATACCTAGTATTAAGGTTTTTCAAAACTTTCATTCTAAGAAAATTTTTATTAAGTCAGGGGTAAAGAAGGGTCTGAGGTTTTCTTTCACTCCTTAAAATGGGCCCATCCATTACTCGTATTCGAAATATTGACCATTTTGTGCAAATCCTCCCTGTCACCTCCCCTTTCTCCCTTTCTTTTTCTCAGTCATTCACATTTGGATCTACCTTTTGAATGCTGGTAACAACAAAACACTGAAGAGTGTCTTGGACGAGTCCTTGACTTTCCAATGGCCATAAGAACAGCTGCTTTTCCATAAAGCAACTAGTGTCCCTAAAGAGGGAAGCTTCCAAGCTTGACCAAAGCTATCAACCACCAGATAAGTCCTGACCTGTAGTATAGGTTCAGGTTCTGGTGGAGGCCGCCGTGCCCTTGGATGGGTGACTGACTTGGACGCACTCCTCACTCCTTGATACATGCTAATATCTGTTCCCGCTTGTCTCACACTTTGGGGGATCAAACGAAGTATTTGTTTGGTTCTTTCTCTCTCTTTCTCTCTCTTTTTTTAAAGTTGTTTTTATTTATTTGGGGGAGAGAGAGGGAGCACAAGCAGGGGGAGGAGCAGAGGGAGAGGCCGACTCCCTGCTGAGCACGGAACCCAATGTGGGGCTCAGTCCCAGGACCCTGAGCTCATGACCTGAGCCGAAGGCAGATGCCGAACTGAGCCACCCAGTCGCCTTGTTTAGCTCTCTTCAAACAAAATCTTGACGCATACATAGTACTCTGTGCCTCCATCCTGTTCAGGGGGCTCACTTATTGTAATTCCTTGCTTAGATACCTGCCTCCTGAGTTGCAGTGTGAGTACTCTAAGGTTCTGATTATGCTTCATGTCTCATACAATGTCAGATAATTCAACCTATTATTTGTTGAATAACCGAAGCTGCTAATGTTGTCCTTAAAGTGATTACAATAATAGGTATTTAAAGGCATCTTGGGCAGTCATCTCATGAAATCGCCACATGGGTCATTTCTTTTTCTTCTTTTATGAGGACTCGATGGAAAAGCAGTCTCCATGTGGTGCTCAGACTTAGTAGCTAGGAACAAGAGCTTTGCACACTAGGTGGCCTGCTTTCCACGCTGCTGTGGAGTCTGTCGAGTACAGAGTCGTAACCATGGTTTCCTGCAGATTTGTGTTCCCTGCTTCGGCTACAGACTGCAGCCGGCACCCGCGGTTACGAATTGCTAAGCAGTTTTTGTGCACTTGTGCAAATGAATGGGGGTGGTTCCTCTTGAGAGGAGGTCACGGGAGACTTCATGGTTAGATGCAAACTCTTCAAAACCCAGCCTATTGATTTTTAATTTAATTCAGCATTTTCTGAGTCGCCTTATAAAATGCTTGCCTCATTGGTTAAGCAAATTTCTTCATTCAGTTTGAAAAATACAGAGCCAAGGTATTGTTTCTTTCCTAAAGCAGTTGCTTAGAAACTCAGGATTATGAGCCCTCGCCTGAAGTGACTGGCTGAGGTCTGAGAGAGACCTTTCCCTCGGTCATTTAGCAGGACCTTTAGTGACATCTGTCAGATTCAAGGGGGGAAGATGCAAAGTAGATGAGGATCATTCTCTGTTATGTCTCCAGAATGAATAAGCCCAGGAGCTCATGGTTTGGTGGGGACAAGCAAGTCATGATTGTAGACTTGATCTGAACCTTGGGTTGGTGGTCAGTGCCAGAGGACCTGCCACTAAATTGTGGAGGATGATGGTGATGCCATCACCACAGCATCGGTCAGCAGTCTAGTGGGGCCTTGTGTTTCTTACTATGAATGAGGTTCACTTTCACTGAGCCATCCATGTGCTCGTGCCCTGGCCACTGTGGCTGCAGACAGAGTTTGTGAGTCAGGGTAGGGGTACACTTAATAGTTTAAATACTTGGTGACCTCATCTGCTTATATAGACAAGTCTGAGGCCTACAAACCCACAAGATGGTCAAATTCAGTTTAAACTGATCACAAACTAAATTTCCTCAGTTCAGTATCAGAGAAATTAGAGTCTAGAGGCAGAAGCCAACCGGTGGGCTTTGGCTATTTAATTGGAATTAAGAAAGAGTTTTACTGGCTCAAATATTCTTTTCCCAACGTGAATGATCTCTATCTCCATGTCTTTTTTAAAATAGTGAACCCAAAGATCTGACTTTCCTGCATCCGATGGGTTCACGGGAAATGCCTGTCTTTTGTCTCACTTTTTACTTTAAAAAAAAAAAAAGAAGAATTCCAGTAAAACTCTGTTAATTTTTTTTCTCCTTCAACTTTCCATGGATGGTAATTTTCCACTAAGTCCCGATCCTTAGAGGCTGCTCTTTTTAAGTGTCCTGCACATAATCTGAGTTAGAGGCAGGCTTTCCAGGGATTTGATCTGTTGGCCAGATTGACCATGTTTTCTGTAACGAAAAGTATTTAGCTGCCTTTTACAACCACGTACTTCCTATGGAGAGAATATAAATGGGGAAGTCATTTCCATTCCCTTCTGCTGCTCCAGAAGGAGGTCACCAGAGTCCTCCACTGTCACATAGCCCCTCCCCACTGTTGGGACAGACTCGAGTCGCCCTTGTGAGGAATGTCCTTCCTCTTTACCTTTTAAAGATCTTCCTGCTGGAATCCTCCACTCCGGCCTTTAACTTGGATTAAATGAAGCTTTTGTAGCCTTCATCCATCTTGCTCTTCTTTTTCTTTCCTGATCCCGTATTCTTTGTCACGACTGTGGAAACCTCAAGAAATCTTGACTCTACCAGCTACCCTGCCCTCATGCCTGCTTCTTAATGTCTCACATTTTCTGAGATCCCTCTTTCTCTTGAAAGGCAGGGCATCAGAAAGGGGATTTACTCTTTTTTGGACTTTTATTGTTTATTCTGTTATAATCTAAGTTCAGTATGGAAACAAAAATGTAACTGGGATGTTTAACATGACACTGTATGAGGAATAGGTTCTAGGTCTTTTAAACGTTGTGAGTAATGTTTCCACCCTAAAAAGGAAGTCTTAGGCATCTGAATTACATTCATTTGGGTGACAGCAAGGGCCCACTTAGGCCAAATGAAGGCTGGTTTGGGTTCTCACTCAGGCATATCTTGAACATTTGCCAGGTAGTCAAGCATATTTTGGGCACTAGGGATGTAATGATAAAGAGGACATCATCTTTGCCCTCAAAAAAGCCTATCTTCTGATCTGAGAATGTCATACTCGCCTTTTTTTTGGCCATCAGAGGTGTTGAGGAAAGCTTGAAAGGTGACACATCAGAGTTCAGGTCTGACACCCTCCTAGCTTCTGTTAGGAGTGAAGAGGAAATGGTAAAACTGTGTACAACATCTGCAGAAGAAGGACTTAACCTAAAATTTGGCCATATAAGCACTTTATTTTCACATTGTAGAGATGTGAGTGTGATTCAAACCTCTAACAAAGACACTTTGTTACAGGTCAAGGTTGCTCAACAAAGCCCAGCGGATTCAAGCACCGCATTCCGAGAACCCACCACGCGGGTCAGTAACCTTCCTGAGAGGAGTTCGGCCCACAGCCCCAGGGAGGGCCTGAGGGCCAAGCGAAGCCGGCTCGCCCCCAGCCCAGAAGCTGTCCCCGAGTCCAAGAGCAGCGAGAATTGTAGGGTCCAATAGAAGCGACCCTGTGTGTCAGGACCCTGGAAGGTGGCAGTATTTAACCAGAAGACCATGTGCCTGCAGGGGCTGTTGTTTCCTCAGGGAGCACGTTATCAGTGGGAAGAAAACATTTCCTTATAAATCTAAATATATTGTACCCTTTACCTCCCCCATGTCTAAGTATTGGAAAAGTTTGGAAGCACTGATCAACAACTCGTCACTTAGTGTAAATGGCGCTGTATAAAGCTTTTTGGTAATGTTGCAGTTACATGGCAGGCACTGTGTAACGACTTGTGTTTGTATGTGGATTTTGCCCTGAGACAACCCAAAATACATCCTCTGCTTCCAGTGAGCAGCTCCCAGGAAGATATAAACTTCTGCTTTATGATATATCCTATGTGTAGAGCTAGGCATGAAATAATTTTAGATCAGGAATTTCTTTGAGCTGAGAGTAAAATGAAGGAAAATCATGCACACATATACACATGTGGATGTACATACGGGGTTGAGTTCATCCTTATCTTCCAGTGTGTTTTCTAAATGTTTGCCGATTGAACCTGTGCAGATTTGTGCGTGTGGGTGATGGGAGTTTGTGTGTTTATTTCCAGTGGGCCTGCTTGCAGGCACCTCGAAGATGTAGTATATCAAGTTTTCTGTCATCTTACTGTTTCTTCCTAAGACCAGTTTGTTACTGTTCTTTTAGTATGTGTTCTCATAAACAGTGAACTTGTGTTAAAATAGGGCATTTTTTTCCTAATAAAATAAATCACTTTTGTGTTCTGTAAAAATGATTTCTAAATATAAATGCATTATGGGCATTGGTACGATTTCTTGCTAACGTCAACAGGCTCTTGTAAAAGACTTTTTAACAAATGATACTAGTATATTTGTGAATACATTAAGTTATATTAGAAGACGTGATTTGGAATGTGGGTCATGAAGACTACATAGGAATTAGGAATAATATGTCCAGCCAGTGCCTGGCACATTGTGTGTACCCATTAAATTGCATCAGCAAGGATACAAATATGTGGTATTTTCCAGCTCGTTTATTGATGACAGGGTTTGAAAATATTCAGGCATTATGAGCCATATCAAATCCCAAAACTTTGGAACAAGGCCTTTTGTCCTTGAATCAGGGTAAAAAACTTTTCCAGGCCATGAGCTAGTAAGATAATTTGCTCTTGGCTTTCAGTTCAGACTGATGTATAAACCTTGACAAATACTGTCATTTATATTTTAAAATTGGCCTTTGTAAGGTGGCCTCTATTGTTGAATAATGCTTCAATAATATTAAGCTACTTAGTATTCATCTGTTGAAAGTGATATCCTGACTTTCCTCTTTCTTCAGTCGCTCCGGGTTGTGGTCTGGTGCAATATCCTTATCATAAATCATCCCAAGGCTGCCATGTGCTCAAGGGCACGGCCCGAAGTAGACATCGCTGGGGTCAGGCCATCAGCTTTGTTGGCTGTCTCCAGTTATTGGAAGATTCCACTCAGTAGGACTCGCTGAGTAGTTCCATGGGGTCCTTCATCTTTTCCTAGGTGGACCGTACGTAGCTGCTGCTCCTTGTTACAGAGAATACTTGGCATGCCTTCCATTTTTGTAATTGTTCACAGTCATTATAAATGGGCAGCCAGGACACTTACGTATCCTCTTCCTCAAGCTAACAATACCCCTTATACCATGAGCCAAGCTGCATATAGGATGGAAAGTAAATACTCCACAGTCCTAACTCTGAGGTACTTGATAAGCCAGTTAAGTCACCGATAAGATCCCAGATGACAAATCATATGGAGAAATAGATCAGTCTGTATGGTGAGGGGCTTTCCGGAGAGGATTTTTGAATCTTGAATATTCTGTAGAAACTCAGTCCTTTGGGAATTATCAACAGTTCCAAAGGGACCTCATCTTTAATTAAAAGGGAATAAAAGCCAACATTTAATTGTAGTCTGATTTCCTAAGAATCACCCTTCCACCCCTTTATTAACCTTTGAGATTTATTTGTGGTTTTTCTCATTTGTCCTCACTCTATTTATTTTGTTGGAACTATGAACTTTACCTGGAAAGAAGTCAAAACACTTCTTCCCAGGGGCCCCTAACTTTAGATGAGGTGGGAGCCCTGTTCCACTTCCCAACTGGTTTGAGTCAAGGCAAAAACTTCTATCTACTCTTAGGGTGACTGAGCACATCAGTCTTAGGATTTACAAGTTAGTTCTTCCAAAGTCATTCGGGCTATGACAGTATGTTCTGAAAGTAGCATAAATGGGAGATAAACTATGACCAATTCTTTTGATTCATTGGTTTAATACACCACAGTCAGAAGTTGAACTAATCATTGGCATATATTTTATATTTCTCATTCATTTGTGGTTGACAGAGGGAGTAGAATTGTTTCTTCAGGAGGACACTAAGTGCCTGGAATTGGTAGTTACTAACTGGTGTAGTCGAGCTGTGCTCTCCCTCCCATTCCTGTCCTATAAGCAGAACTTCCTTTAGAGGAAGGGGCTTTATCTTGGTTCACTGACAAGAGAGAACACTCAGAAGAGAATTGGAGTGCTTCAGAAGAACCAGACCATTCTACTTGGAAAAGCCCAAGGACCAAAAACTAGAATCCCACCTTCAGGTGGCGCCATGTATCTAATGTTATAATTAGATACATGAGCTATGGCTCAACTACTGGAACATCATGTGGAAATTACATGCATTTTACAGTGTTTTTACACGTTTGTTCAAACCTTAACACCTTTGCGAGGTAGACATTAGGATCTCCACTTTATAGGCTGAGATTAAGAGACCTGGGTAGAACTACTGACTCCTTCATTGGAGGAGATCTTGTTTATAATAATGACAATGAGTCTCACAACAACCTTGCAAAGTGGGGATTATCCTCATTGGATAAAAGATGAAATAGTCTCAGGGACTTGAGGTATTTCAACTTCAGTTACGTAACTGTAGAGTCCAATCTCTTGTGTGTATTGTGCTTGTGTAGAGGCAGGCTATGCCAGGATAATTCTGACAGCACAGATATTCAAGAGATAGAAGGAGCTTTCCTGGGCAATGAAGATGTCCTTAAGTCTTAAGATGATGGCATCAGGTTATGTTCTCAGGGTTGTGAGATCGAGCCCCACGTGGGGCTCTATGCTCAGTGTGGAGCTGGCTTGTCCCTCTCCCTCCCCCTGCTTGCATTCTCTCTTTCCTTCAAATAAATAAATAAATCATTATACTAGTGAGAAGTGTCAGAATGCTTGGGCTCTTTTGGCAAATAATATTATGCCTCAGTTTCCTCTGGTAAAATTGGAATAATAATACCTTTTGAAATTGTCATGATGATTAAATCAGTTAATATTTAACTATACATATGATTTGCAAATAACAAAATGGTTATTCTATATACAGATAATTTCACGGATAATTTTTAAAAATAATACAGCTTAAAATTGTTAGATAAATCTGTTAGATTTATCTACACATTAATTTCAGATTAAGTTCTGCCCTACAAAATTCTCACTATTTTCAATATCACCAATGCTTATATTGCAAATGAATGTAATCGCTATTGGTTTGTACATATCATTCAATTACTGGTCTTGCAAATTAATCATCCACTGGTTTTGTTTTTTCTTTGGCTCATTAAAAATACCCAAAGAAAACAATTACTGCAATTAAAGGGTTGTATTGCTGATGGTTATATATAAATTAGTTGTCTGGAACTTGGAACAACATTACAGATTGTGCCTAAATATAAGCTCAGGTAGTCCACTGAGCTCATGGTATGTTAAATGGCAATTAGATTTGTTTCAGTTATGCAGAACCTACAACTCTCAACATTTTTTTTTTAATATTTTAAGCATTGGGTGGCCAGAAACTCATTTTTCTACCTGTTAGCCATTCTCTTCCCCCAAAATTTGTGGTGCTGGACAGGAATTGTCTAGTGATCCCAGCAGAGAGTAATGGGTGCATAGATTCCTGTCCACCACATTTCTAACAGCAGCTGCTCCTGGTATGAAAGGAAAAGTGATGGCTTTTATGTTGGCTCTGATGCTGCAGGCAAGGTCCATCCTGTGTAATGCTGATGTATTTATGTGAGTAAATATAAGTGATTTGTTCTATTGATGTTTCAGAAAATCACAAGGAGACATATCCTCAGACTTCATACATTTTTGTTCACTTGCAGATGGGAGTTCCAGCCCACAAAATTCTCACAGACCCCATCCCCTCAAAGAAAAGAACGTGGCTAATGAATAAGATTACTGTACTTTCTTATTCCCCTCTCCTCTAGGGCACCTTGACGTTGCTCAGAGGGTAATGTTTGTTGCTCAGAGGGTAATGTTTATCTGCATAAAAATACCATATTTGCCAAATGGAATCCTTGCAGTTTCAAATGCTTCATATCCTTTGATAGTCAATAATCTAGTGAAGTAGGTCCTATTTTACCCTCTGAAGAAGAGACCTAAAGAGGTTATTAAGTTTATGGCAAAACAAAACTGAGGCTCTGGTCTTGATTCCCAGTCCAAGGCGTGTGATAGAGAGTAAGGAGAGTAAGTAGATTTCAGGAGGCCCAGAAGCCAGATGCTGGCCTGACAAGTTCTTTTTAGAATCCGATTCAGAAACCCAATAGGGCTAAGTTTCCTTCTTTTACAGCTCCAGACAACTCAGCACCTAAGGAGTGGGCTTTCTTTAACTTCATTTAACCCTTTGAGGTAGTCAGGGACTTGGCATTGGGGTTTCCAGCAAAAATTACACTGTTGTCATAACAGGGGATTTCTCTTCTTCCACTTTTCCTTTTCCCCCAGTGGTGCCTTTGCAAGGAGGTAGGAAATGGCAGCTTTCCACAGTTACAGACTTTTTAGTGCAACACTAGGATATTCCTGAATTTTAAATGTGAACAGATTCTCTTGGTGTTGAAATCACAGCTGCGTTATCTCACAGAGCATTTGCTGGGTTCATGCCCTCTCCTTCCCGCTAGACCTTGGGCAGTCCACATGAGGGTGTTATTTGTCCTGAATGCCAGCTGCTTGTCAGTTTAATGGCCATATTCTTGGACCTAGGCCAGCAGAGGGTCACGAGGGTGCCCTGTGCTACCCCACAACGCTTTGTCCCTTTTGTGCTATTTATGGGCAGCCTTCATCTTATGGCTACACAGCAGGCTGGTGGTCACTTGGAATCATAGACGTGTGGGGAAGGAACCAAGTGCCCCTGCTCTGGTTTGTAAACAGGTGTATTAAGTGTGGAGACCATTTTCCTTCTGAAACAGCCACAGCTCAAAGCGAAGAGGTGAGTTCCATCTTGGTTCTGCCCAACTAGTTTTTTCAGAGGTTGATTATTCAATTTATGAGACAATCAGGGTCTCCCTCCATGTGGAAACACCACATGTTCACGGACTTGCAAGTATCATATTTTAATGGCAGAACTAATAAATGGAGGATATCCCTCATTCCTAGAATTTAAAACAAGTATTCTTATTGAGATTTACTGCAGATTCCACTTACCAATCTGTTGTTATGAGAGCCAGAAGCCCAAATTAGCAACCTAAATCTTGTTCCAACATGTATAACAAAATTAGATTTTTCCCCCCTTGAGGTTGTCATAAACTCGTTTAAGAAGAGAATATGTTGGTTTGGAAGAGTCTCACACTGATTTCCCAAATGTGGCTTAGGTTGTAGTCAATGAAGAGTTATTTTTTAGACCACCATCGGCCAAGTTTTTTTTTTTTTTTTTTTTTATCCCAAGACAGAAATTTTTTGTTGCTGTGGCAGAGACAGTTGATTGCTTACCCAACTGTTAGTTCTACTTTCTTGCCTGGAGAACCCCACTTTTGTTCAGGTGTTGGCAGCCTTTGCTCACCTGAGGCCCCGCTCCCAGGAAAGGAATGTAATTAGCATAAGTCAATTATGGTCCTGCCCCAGTCTTTTTTTGCCAGTGACTGTTATGATAACCACTCAGCAGTAACCAATCCTGAGGCCAGAAATAAAGCATTTCCAAAACACAAGATGTCAGATCAGAAAGATGGGTCCTTGATAACTGTGTTAAGCCTCTGAACAAACCTTGGACTTCTTGTCGTGTCAGAAAAACAACAACAACAACAACCACCACCATTTCTCTTTAAAACAACTTCCAGTAGGAAATTCTTTTACTTCACCCACAAGCAACCTGATATCATTGCAAAGCCTGTTTTCTAATTTTTTGGTTAGTCAACCTCTACACTCATTATACTTTCTTTGAGTTTGGCCTGCTTCTATCTGAGCAGGAGACAGCCCTTTGAAGCCCATTCGCTTAATGGTCTTCCTTTCACCAGGCCTGTCATGAAAAGCAATTCTGCTAAATTGGCCCAGGGCACTTGTTTGAAACCTATGTCATATATGAAACGATGTGAAGAAACCGCATAACTTTCTAATGCCTCTTGATGCAAATCTTTATTCACTATTCTACTTAAGGTGGTTTTCCTAAACATCAGGTGATCTATAATAGCTAGAAGCCCAAAATCAAAGGAATCGTGGAGTATCCATAACTTCTATTATAACAACATGGTTTCGTTATCTGGATTTTCTTTATCTCTTTGAAGATGAAGACATTGAGGTCCCAAAGAAGAAACAGTTTTGTTTTTTTTTCTCTGCAACCCACACTATGTCCTAAAACCTAGATTCTAACTACTCAGATGGTGCTTTTCAAAAATTGAGCATGCGGCCAGTCAATGTGAATAGATATTTACAGTTTTTTGGTTTTTTTTTTTTTTCTAAAAGTGCTCATTCATGGCACTGAAAGGAATAGCAAGTTTGAATCACATTAAGAAAATTAGATCTTGCATTCTCTGCAGATGGAATATTCCCTCCATTCTGCTGTGGCCTTAAAGACCAGGCCATGATACAAGGGAACCCAGTAGGGAAACTATGATTAGATTGCCAGCTGCACAACGAGGTATGTGTGCGCATGTTAATGGAATAGCCATTGGTACAGACACAGAGGGCATGGACACCCGATGTTTCTGGTGGCAGGACCACAGAACCTTAACACTTCCCTCACCAGGCTTTTCCGGCAAGCCAAAGCCCACTCAAAACTCTGCCTCTTTATATACCCTAGGGCTTCTCTTTAAGTAGTTTTTGAACATAGCTGTGCATGTATGCCTTTGACACAATTTGGTCTTCACATGAAAAAAAAAAAATTCAGGTACAACGTGTCAGGTACAACCATGTTGTATGTGAAGATCTCCTCCTTTCTTCTCCCAGACTCCTACTTGAATTCGAATCCACT